GAGTAAAACAGAGATGTGGGAGCATAATACATACATTGCGTGCCGCAGTTAGTATAAACACGAGATCCTCGCTTTGGATTTTGCTCGAGCAGGCTAGATTGAACACCAAATTTCACTGCAAATTTTGACGCACCATAGGAAAAATGAGCAGTCACTTTTTTGTGTAACCGTGATGCACCTTTCTGTTTTAAAATTTTAACTCTGTGCTGCTGTCAGGTTAGAGCAGTTTTTGTGGTACTCTATTAGATTTTATGGCAGTAGTTTTCATTTGACCTCAGTCAAGATTTGCCAAATATAGATACGAGCTATGTTTCAATTGCTAGCGAGTTGCTTATTAAAATTTTGTCTTCTATGGGTTCTGTGTATACAGCTGACATGAACTGTGTGAACAACACCTCACCACAGCGCACAGTTGCCTTTCTGTCCTAGTTAAAACTGACAATGTCTCCTGGAAGATACATGTCCTGAAGATGTCATATGGATGTAGAAAAGGCTACGAGGGCACAAAATCCAATTCTAGCGCAGTAGAACAGTGGTTCTCAACCACTGATGTTTCGTGGACCCCTTGTGGATCGGCGTAGATGGTGGAGGACCCCGTCCGTGGCAAGGGGAAGGTATATGTTAATCATGATAATGAGCTAATAAGTGGATATAACTAAGGGCTAGCGTGAAGTACAGGGTGTCAGAAAAGAAAATTTACACGGGCTTTTTTACCGCAAGAATAAACTGGGCATCGCCGAACGCTCATTCTCCGCCCAAAGAAAAGAAAATTTACACGGGCTTTTTTACCGCAAGAATAAACTAAACATCGCCGAACGCTCATTCTCCGCCCAAAGGTAGAGGTCACAACCAGATGCCAAAGTTTCAGCCCGATTTGATAACTTGATAAAAAGTTATAACCGATTTTCTGAAAATTTAAATGGGAAAATGGCGGCCGACGGAGTTTTCGAACACATGGGGCTCTATGGCACTAGAAACCGAAAACGGGCAAAAATGGGCTCCATTTTGCCATTGAAATTTTCAGAAAATCAGTTATAACTTTTTATCAAGTTATCGGATCGGGCTGAAACTTTGGCATCTGGGTGTGACCTCTAGCGCTACCTTTGGGCGGAGAATGAGCGTTCGGCGATGCCTAGTTTATTTTTGCGGTAAAAAAGACCGTGTAAATTTTCTTTTGTGACACGCTGTAGATTTCTCTCGTTGACGTACACAGCAGAAAACTCACCGGAAATTTTGAATGTTTCTTCTCAATCTGAAAAATTGCAACCTTTATTGTCGGGCTTGACTGATGAGGCAGGGCTTCGCGGACCCCTAGAATGCCTTTGCGGACCCCAATTTGAAAACCACTGCCGTAGAACATGCATATGCCTAGAAAAAAGACAAAATTTCCAAAGGGGCGAGTTCTGGCTAACTCCGACTACAGTCTAAGCTCGTTATAACAGACCTTGATTTTGACCAAGATTTCGGTCCGTTGCAAGAGTATGTTGTATGCAGATATTAAGTTGAGTCAACGGTATGTAGAGGAAAGCAACCGAACTTCACAAATCGGTATGTTATATCCAAATGTCTGTTGTAATGAACTTAGACTGTAGCAGTGTGCCATAGCTTCCAAACCATGCACCGCTTCCTTTTTCTTTCTTTGTGGCGGCCATCTTGTGCATCTTTTCACTTCAACTGCCTGCTCACTTGTTGCATGAAAAGAATGTATTTTGCCTTTCACCTCTGCATGCCTGTTGCATGTATTTAATTTTGCATCTCCAATGCCATATCCGTGGCTTTCACTTTTGGGGCAAGAAGTGTTAAGGATGACTTTTGCATATTTTTCCTAATGCAAGGTTGTGCGACATACGCCTGTGATTTGTGCGACAGTCACTGAAAGTGCCTAAACATGTTCAGTTTGACTATGTACCACTCTTTACCTTCCTAGCACATTTCTTGGCATGTATGTAACCTCAGGCAGTGGTGTAGCGAGATTGCAATGTTAAAGGCCGACGTACAACCTCAGTTTTCTGCAGGGAAGATAATCCTCTTAGCGCTCTCCTCTCCTAAGCTGCGAGGGAAGTAAAGTTGAAGCAAGGTGAAAAGTGGAGTGCATATAGGAAAGGAGGAGGCGGACAAAAGGGGAGAGCGCGAAGTGTACGTCGGCCTTTAAAGGGGTAGTCCACCGATTTTTTGAACTACCTCAACTAACTATATTTTCCGACTCCCCGGCCTTTACCCTTTCTGGTATGCTATGTAGAATCCCGAAATTCATAATAGTTATTGCGAAATCGGCAAATGAAAACGATGCAAAAACCAACATTCAAATATACGCGCGCTTTTCAGGGCCGTGACGTCAGTGGCAGGCAGGCTTGCCAGTCGAGCAAGCAGCCAAAAAATAGAATATGCCGATCATTTGCTCCGTGCTGGAGCGCGGGTACTGCAACGAGCTTCCCAAGCATTCATTTGACACCATGAAACTGCTTCGAATCAGTTTAAAACAAAATCTACAGCCCAAAGAGTGAACCCCTGCCTTCCACTGACGTCACTTTTTCACTGTTGCCAGTAGAGACTTCGAGCTTGAAAAACACGGTGAGGACAAAAACTGTAAATTCAATAACTTCGCGAAAAAACAATATTTTGACCTAATATTCGGGATACTATTTTCGCGATGTTTGTTAGTTTAGCAAAATTTCAAGCAAATCGGAGACAATGAAAAAATCGGTGGAGTAGCCCTTTAAGGAGACTTACCTCTAGGATGGGGGAGGGGGAACATTGACATAACATCTTCCCAATATTTCCTATAATTTCTAGGAACTTACAAAACTCAAGGCATTCAGAGTACCAGTAAATTATATCAATATTTTTTTGCAATCAGGCCCTTGTCCTTCAACAGCAGCAAGGCATTCTTTACAGCGGTTGCGAGTGCAAGAGATCCGAGGATCGACTTGGCGATTAACAAGTTTGACTTCTAGGGCCAATTTCTAAAACAAAGCACAAAGGTGCACACGCTGAGCAAATGCCGTCGTTAACAGGTTTGGCAACGAGCAACTTTTCAAGTACAAATAGATGTCAAACACGTCACAAAAAAAAAAAAAGGAAAATTAATTATTTTTCTGTTCTCTTTGTGTTCTTGTTTGTTTGACCTGGGCGACATGTGGGGCAACTACAATGTAGCAAAAGTGGTGGCCATTCTAACCCTGGAGTATGAGGACAGAGTAGATAAGTGTGGATGCAAACACCAATGTTTCTATTAAACCAGCTCACCTGCATCGTGGCTTTAAAGGAGCTGTGCAACGATTTTAACGCTGAAAAAATTGGCATCTACTTTTGGCATTGTTCACCTTGTCACAAAGGACAGAAAACACACCTCTTCCTTCGAAATGTTGCGATTCCACCGCGTAATCGTGAGGCAAAACTTAGGATATCCACGGACCTGCAGCCGCGAGCGGCGGCCATGAGAAACACGCGGCGTGACGTTAATGGGGGTCTTGTAGAAAGATAGCAAGTTGTGCAAATACCTGCTTGATAAAAGTTTTTTTTTTTTTATATAAATCTTGTGGTTTTAACATAAATATAAATGCGTCAAAAACCTGGCATCGACAAAACTTTTATTATACGGAGTTTTAGTCGCGCCATCTATCCTAGGTCCACAAAACCGTCAGCTCTATCTACTACCGCGAACAGCCGCCAGAAGCCCAGAAGGGGACGGGGATGGCCGGACCCGGATGAGACTTTCCTCCTTTCACCATATTGTTCGCGCTGCGCCCGCCAGGACCAGGTCACGAGCGGATGAGTTCTCGCTGCTCACTAATGGCTCTAAAGAGAGAGAGCTTCACCGGAACCCCGCGCAAACCCCATTGACGTCACAGTGCACGTGACTCGGAAGATGGTGAAGGAGTTGAGCGGTGCCAAAAAACTCAATCTTTGTCCATTTTTAAAATAAAAACTAGGACATGCAGGCAAAAGCGGTTTTTTGTTCTTTACTTCAGAAAGGTCGAGACACCAACTCCCAAATTATTTAAGCAAAGCACTGAAACTGTTGCACAGCTCCTTTAAATCGGTAGCACCTTTTTGCATTCTGTAACTACCCATGTCAAAATGTATCAAAAAAGGTAGCTCATGTTCAGCTGATTTTCTGACAAATAGTGAGGAAAAAGCGCACAAGACCCAAGGCTGTCTCTTCCCCTTCCCCCGTGGCTACGCCTCTGACCTTGGGACTAAAGATTTAAATGAACTAACTTGCACTGAAAAACTGAGCACGCACACCCACGCAGGGGCAGATTTAGAGGGGGGGTCCGGATGTCCTGACCCCCTCTTGATTTTTAAACGTAAAATTTAGGGCGTAAAACAAGAGAGGGGGTTCCTAAACATATGGTACGCTGACCAACACCTGACCCCTCCCCCCCCCCCCCCCCCCCCTCAGGAAATTCCTGCATCTGCTCCTGCACCCACACATGTTCCCACCCTTTTTTCCATTTTATGGCAAAATTCAATACAGTATGTAAAGTATGCTTATGTTTGACTTGAGCAAGCACCCACCTGCAATGCCACAAGGTTATTTTTTTCAATTGTGGTTTAGCGCTTGCTCAGTACATTGTGTTAGTTCAGTGCATATAGGAGGTGACAAACTAATATACTTTACATAGAGTACCGAGCAGAACACATTTCTAGACATCCATGGGGCTTTAGAATGTCCTGTGGACATTTGCTCCAAATGTCGGACTGCTTACATTTTTTTTTTATTTAGCACATTTACACTGTCACTTTGCAGCACTTGACGATGGGTATAAAGTTTAAAGTGATCCCGAAAATAACCTCGGGCTGAGGAACATGCAAAAGGGGGGGGGGGGGGGGGGGAAGCGGGGGGGGGGGGGGGGGGAAGCGGGGGGGGGGGGCAGGCATATCTTCTATGTCTCCAGCTTTGTTTTTCTCAAGGTGAACAGTCACCAACTCACTTATTTTCGAAGTATCACTCGGAAGTAATGACACATTTGCTCAGCTGTGACCCTCCTTTTCAGAAGTGAACCAAAGCCCATCCTTATCAGCTATGTCAGAGCTGAAACTGCACAGCACGCACTCAACCTCAAACAGGAGTTGCTCAAGATGAATTTCAGCGTGTACCTCGTAAGTAGCCTGACAAGCGAGCCTGAAAAAAAGTGTTCAATATCTATTGATGTTCATTCTGCCACAGGACATTGATGAAATCAAAATCGGCAGCGACTGGCAAGATGCCTTAAATTACGCCGTGAGCGAATGCCACCTGTTCGTGCCTCTTATAAGCCCTATGTATGGGAAGACTCAATGGACAAACCGAGAGGTAAGCTCCTTGTCTCATTTCAATTGTGTTGCCCTATTGTGCCCCCCATGAGGAAACTTGAAGAGCTTTCCTTTAGGTGAAACTAGCGGACGTCCTTCACAAGGTGATCATCCCAGTCAACTTTCTGGAGAGCTGGCCTCCGGAGTGCTTGGCAATACAATTTGCGTCGACACAGTACATAGCGGCCTGGAAGTTGTGCGAGCATGAGAGCAGCCAAGGTAAGCAGACTCAGGTATGTTGTGGAAGAGACTACACTCATAGCTTCTTGGACTCCCTGCCAGCCGTGGGTGAAATGTACAAGAATGATTACCGCATCTGGGACGACAACAACCTTAAGCGGGTAGCCAAAGAAATTGCCGAGCGGTATCGGCAAACTGTCAAGAGGGAGCAGATAGCCGAGAGACGGGCAAAGACGTCCATAAAGGTAACCCTTTGTTCCCGTCATTAGATAGTCTGGACTTGAAATGATAGATTTTCTTTGCTTCGGTTTCCTTTGGCAGCAGCCCAAGCGAACTTCCCACCTGGGAACCCTGGCGACCGTCGAAGAGATCCCCATGACAAGGCCCCAGTCGAGGGTGGAGGCCACTGGGTACAGCCACGGCTTCGCGGAACAGATGGAGCAGCTAGAGCCAAAACAACTTATTGTGATCAGTGCACACCCCAAGCAGAAGGACATTGTAACTATCCCAACCCGGTGCATGACAGGAACATGGATGTCAACACTTTACCTCACTTGCAGGCGCAAGAAATTGCTAGACTCTTTGAGAGGGACGGCTTAAAGGTGTGGAGCACGACGGAACTAACAGAGAGCCGTGACAGCTGCTCGGATACGGAGAGCATTCCAACTAATCCCAACACGCCGCGAGAGCTGGCACCCATCCCGGAGGGCGAGCGCATCTTGAGCGATGTCTACAGGGATGCCCACAACCGCATTCTGGAGCACAAGCGGCTGAGTTCCCTTCGAGATCATGAACCTGCGGGTGAGTTGCCCAGCCCCTTTTGACCGGGGACATCTGAAGCCCTCCGTCTTGCACGATATTTGAGCTCCGACTGAACCGAATAGGTTTTCTAGGTCGCATCTAATGGACAACATTCTGTCTGGCAGAGAGACTGCAGGGGTTTTCCTGCTTATTATCAAAAATATAAATTATACTCCTTTTCAATATCTCTAGTCTCAAAGTTGACAAAAGTAGCAATTTTATTTGTCTGAGCGGCAGACCAGCCACTGCTTCGAAGTGCACAGCTATGGATACATTTCTTTGAAAGAGGTTCCTCTAGGAAGTGAAACGCGGAACTAAAAATATTCATAATAGACACCACGGCGACATGAATGTGTTATCTGGGCTTTTGGTGTAAACTTATTGTTTCTACTGTCCTGAATCAAGCATTTACTGAACCCATACAGTTATTTTCAAGAGAAGAACAATGTTAGAACCACAGTTTTGTAGTATATCATTGGTCTTTAGTGTGAGCTAGAGCGTCAGTCGCACGAAATGGATTTTTCATACCTCTCTACAGAAAACCGTGCTGTGTGTCGCCTGGCCTCTCAAGCAAGCGATGTCAGCGTAGCATCTGTACTTGCGGGAGAAAAGCTAGAAAGGGTGAAACGTTTCCAGCAAAAGGCAGTTCGGGCTAAGGTCGTGATAGTGCTCATCACAAAGGACTACACTGGCTCGAAGACATCTGAGCAACAGGTTATTAGCACAAGCTTCTACCAGAAGCTTTTGGTTTCGGCCTCACTGTCCCTTTCTTGATGCAGGTGTTCTACTGCGAGCACAGAAAGCATGTTGTTCTGGTGAAGTGCGACGACTGGCCCATCCCGTGCTGGTTCTCCTCCTTGATGGGCAATGATGTCATCATTGTGAGTCCATTTAACACCAGAGGGTGTCTGCTCGTGCAGTCACCTTCTAAAATCATTGTATATTAGCAACTGTATACGGAATATCATTGATTATTCTTCATGGCAGAGCAAGCTGTGAATTAGAATTACAGCACGATTGTCAGGTATTATGATTGGATCAGTCGGAGTTGTTATAAAGCAAATTGATTTCAGACCTGAAACCTGACATATTGTAGGCTAAAACTGATGTAGCCTATGCCCAAAGACTGATAGTGTGCTTTGGAACACTACATTCACCCAACGACTTTACTACATTGTGAGCACCATTAGTCACCCATTTTTCTAGGGCACAAATTCATGGCAGCCTTTATTTCAGAGGGACAGCCCACAGTTTGAGAACACTCTGAAGACCCGCGTGAGACGAGCAATGAGCCCGGACTCCTCGGAGACTCCGAAAGATGCTGCCGTGGAGGCAACTGTACAGTCTTGGGTGAGCAGACCGATAGCTACACTTGTGCTAGACACGCATTTGAGCTGCTGTCAAAAGCATAGTACCGTAATATCCCGTAAGGGCACCCCCCACCGTGAGGTCGCCCATCCTGTGTTTTTGGCCAAATATCCGTAACATCGCCCAGCCCCGAATCCTGTCGGACATCACGCAATGTCCGACGGGAATCGGGGGTGGGCGATGTTACGGATATTTAGCCAGAATGGCTAAATATATGTAATTGTGGGAATCGCATCAACTGCGTGATCTGCGGTATTGGTACGTCTGACAAGCGAGTTCGCAGTGGATTCCCACGTTTTTATCGCGATCTGCGTGCGCGATACTAGTTCTTGTGACATGCGAGTTCGTAGCAAGTTTCTGCGTTTTTTGTCAGCGATCCGCACGCACGATATTGGTTGCCGTGGCACACTAGCTTGTAGCCGGTTTCCGCGTGTCTATTGCACCGTGAAACACAAATCTGCTTCATCCATAGTGTGTGGTATCCTTTCTTATGACATAGGAGTTTGTAGCAAAGTCCCATGTGTTTATCGCACTATGAAACGCGAATTTGCCGCGTCCGCGATGGGCTGTATCAGTTCTTGTGTCACCTGGTTAGTAGTGGGTCTCCCCCGCCCCCCCCCCCCCCCTTCTATGTTCATTATTAATTTTTGATAAAGTTTTGCTGTCTCATTTCCAAAGATAGCCCACCTCATGCTTTTCATCATTTATTTCTTCATTTTGGGTGGGTGCCCATATGGGATTTTAAGGTCGTTTGCTGCCTGCATTTCATTATGCATGTCAGTGAAAGCTTTACATGTGTGTTAGTAGCTTGGAAAGATATTCCACTGCACTTATCGTGCGGCGTAACACCTTATTACAAGCGGTTCTTAAACTGTGGTCTGCGGACCCTTGGAGGCCTGCGGACCCTTGGAGGCCTCCATACCCTTGGAGGCCTGCAACAATATTGGTGGGGGTCTGCACCGATTTAGGGACCGCCCCAATGGGGACAGTTAGGGCATGAAGAGGGTCGGAATTGTTAGACCCAGCTTTTCAGCTATAAAGAGTTCTCACGAGTCATAGTGTGCTCCTGCCGATTCCCATACTCAGCGTCAACTATTTCGTGCTCCAGGCTAGCGTAGCTTCTGCAGTGCTGCAGCCTTACACTGCTGTGAGATCACGTGGCTTCATCTTGCGTCTCATTCGCAAGCTAATTGAAGCCAAGCACAGGCTCATGTAGTAGCTTTCACAGCATTGGAGCACTGCAAAAGCTACACTAGCATTGACTCAGGCATGTAGCCAGGATTTTGTTCCGGAGGAGGGCCCGCCCATGACAAAATGCTGTATGAGGGGGAGGGGGGAGAGGTGGCCCCAGCAAAATGGAAGATTTCGGGGGGCTGGGGCTGGCCATGGGCCCCCCCCCCCCGGCTACGTGCCTGCATTGACTAGTCACCGAATGTTCTTAGAGTACCAAATTCCATTCAGTCCGCTTACCAGTAGTCAATCTCGCAGAATCCAGTTTCGATTGGCTGGTTTAGCCCCTGGCGGAAGTTATCAGTCACCCATTTTGTGGATTGGCCCAAAACGCCACCAAAAAACTTTATAAAACGTTTCCGCGTTACCACGGCGGGTACGCACAGGTAACGCGGAATTGATGCCCGCCTTACCACGCGGGCATCAATGAGTTAGGACCGAACAGAAGGTGTCTCAATTTTCTCTAAAATATTTTCATATCAAGTAGCTGCTAATCTGGTTCGCCAAAGGAGATTGCCGACTCGTTTCCTCGCTTTGGTTGTGCTGGTGCTGCATTTCAAACTCTACGCCTTAGACGCTAAGCCTAACACTCGACTTAGATATGTTTCGAGGCAAAGAGAGAGAGAGAGAGAAGAGGCAGCAAGGAGCAAGTCACGCACCGCTCGGAACAAAGGACAGAACTTTAATAAAACCAGTGTTGACACGGGCCAGGAAAGTGGACTGAAGAGCTCGCACGAGAACGAACACTACGCTGTATGAGCTTTGCTTCAACCGCACAGGGTAGCGCCATATTGGGGATCGCGACTTCTGCGCCGCGACTCGGTTCTGAAACGAAGCTTGGGAGTTTCGGTACCCTGAAAACATTCAGAGACTCTAGCACTGACAACATGGCACAAAAATAGTTGATGCCGAGTAGACAAGGCACTTCACCGAACGTCGGCCATCTTTCCCATGAAAAGTATGCATCGCAGAGAAAAAAGGTTCATGTCGTACTAGTTTCTGCCAAGGGCCTATTTAGAAAAATAATAATGGTCAGTACAATTATATTACTTTGAGTGATTGACTTTTCAATTGGGAAGTTTAAAGGTATGGTTTTAGTTGGAATATTTCTAGTCATTGACAAATACCACTTATCAACCCACTTTAGAAATAAAGCATGTGCAGCATTTTACGGCATTCTGAGTAAAATGCTAAACTTGGATGCTTTTCTAGGTTTCGGTTTCCTCAGAATGTCTTTGCACCAGCGGTCCCGCTTCCCGTGTTCGAAGTGTGCAACTAATGTGTGTGCATTCTTCGCATGGTGCAGGCGAACGCAAACATCTGAGCTTATTCTTGCAATGTCCAGCCAAGTAAGAAAAAAAAATATGTAGCGATTTTTTTTTTATTAAAAAAAAAAAAAAGTAAATCAGCTTTATTTTATTTAAATTAAACTGTCATGATTTAAATCACTTCAGCTTGGAAAAGTGATTTTTTTTATATAGCTGTAACCTTTTTATTCAATGATGGAACTGGAAGCTATTACATTCGAATGAAAGTTTGGAGTCTTCTCTTTCCCAGGAGCACATGCATTTTCAATATAGTCCCCGCTGGGAGCAATGCACTTCAGCTACCGGTGCACTATACTCCGCAGGCCGTCGTAGATGATAGAGGGTGACTGTAAACAACACCAAAGCCGCGCTGGAGGAACTGCAGAAGCCTCATTCACTTCACAGCCCGGACCTCACGTCAACAGACTTTTGACCGTTTCTCTAACATCTAAAGGGCACACAGTTTGCGTCCAATGACGAGGTTACCAACGCAGTGCACCGTTGGTGTCGTCAACAGCCGCCCTCAATCATTGACAATGGCACGCGGAGAGTAGCGCACCAGTAGCAGAAGTGCATTGCTGGTCGGAACAATATTGAAAATCGAAGCGCTCCAGGAAAAGAGGAGATTCCAAAGTTTCATTTCAATGCAACATCTTTCAATTCCATTGCCGAATAAAAATGTTACAGACTAGAAGGCAAAACTTGTTGATCACCCCTTGCATTTTGATATAAAAATGTTACAGCCTAGAAGGCAAAACTTATTGATCACCCCTCGCATTTTAAGTATTGTATTGGGGAAATGTGTTTAAATTAAATCATCACAGCCAAATCAGTGAGATTTAAATTACAGTTTAAGTCACAATCTAATTCATCTTGATTTTTATTCTCCACCCTGCTTTAACTAGGGATCAGTGTTTTCGGGGTTTAAGTTCTCTGCAAATTCAGGGCAGTTTTTGGGTTTCTTATTTTGTTTTCACGAATTCTGTGTTTTTCGGTATTCATTTTTGGTGTCAAACGCAAAATTGTGGCTTAATGTTGATGAAAAAGGGACACTGGTATGGAATTCCCAAACGTCCAGGGAACATACACATGAGCCAAATACTTGGGAAACGTTCCAGCACTGATCAGATATCTGGTTCCGAAGAAAAAAAAAAGAGGAGTCTTACATGTTCCGGATCAACGCAAATAAAGCTGGAGATAAAGTTTCTTCCCACGAGGTTTGGCCATGTTTCTGGGACAGCTCTGATTAAGGGTTTTTCAGTTTTCCCCGATTTTGATCACGCCTGCTCAGGCGTTAATCGATATTTATTGAAAATACGAAAGCCTAATTATAACACTGTTGGAATCATTTCATGCTCGCGACAAAAGAATGATGCACAAAAAAAGGAAAAAAGATGATCAAAAGTGTTCCAAGGCAGATGACACCAGCGCGTTGTTGTTGCAGAGGAATGAGACGCATTTAAGTACACTCAAACACACCTCTGTGAACTGCACTAATGCACAATGCCACCAATGCCTATTAACGCTATCACACCTTTATCGCATTAGACAGGCAATTCTTTTTTTTTATAGTCCAATTAATTTTATCAGTACTTTACATTGTGCTTGTTGTTTTATCATGCTGACATCAGTGCTTTTCATAACTAAGGACTAACAGTATAGGTAAATAATGTAAGCATAGTCATCGGATAAAAGCTTTTGCTTTTCTTTCCTATAGGTTAGCTTCATGAAGAAAGAAATATCATGCATAGAGACGTGTGTTTATATTGCCGGAAGCAGCAAGCTCCAATCAACAAGATCAGAAGAAATCTGCAGGTGTGTTTGCTAGCATTTTTCCCCATTTATTATCATCTACTACAGACTACAAGCTTCAATTTGAAGAGGGATTGAAGCAATTGTGTGTGCTGTAAAAGGACAACATAAAGTAGACTAACGGAGACAGCAGACAATGAACCAATAAAAACAAGCGTTCAAACTGTTCCAATTTCGCTTAAGGTTGAAACAAAAGTAAGTAAAGATGCACAACAACATACAATCAACTCAATAACCAAAATGAGCAAGACCTGACAGTAACAATTTCTAACAGCTTGCTTACCTCCAATTTGTATTTAATGATATGAAGAACTGTGGTGCAAACAGTTGGAAGAGACCAATGCTTCACTTAATTCTGATTCAATTGAAGTCTGGCCGCTCTCCAACAATTTATCGCTTCCAAGCAGCTTTTGCATTTGACATATGCCATAAATTTCAGTAGAAAATTATAAAATTGCCTTGAACCCCATCACATACTCTCAAAAAGGAACTAACATCTTTTTCAGGGAGATAGGTAAACAGCTAGCAAAGTTGCACAACGTTGGCGTAGTCACCGGAGGATTCTTCGGAGCCCCAGACGTGGTGGCACGGACCTTCCACGAGTTTCGCGAAAACAATGGCCAAATGGACCCACGTGTGTTCCACATCTTGCCCAAGAGAGATGACAAGGTATGTCCAAGGAAGCGTTAACAGCTTGTCCGTCAACAGGTCTAACACTGCCCCATCTTCACAGATCTTCGCAGGAAAAGTGCTGCAGAACAGCGACGGCTCTTTTGCAGAGGTCGACTACGGCCGAAATCTGTTCTTGGGAAATTCCATTAAGGAGAGGGAGTGTGCCGTGGCTCGTGCATTTGACACGTGCATCGTCATAGAAGGCGAGTCTAGTGTGTCAGTTTTTTTAGGGCATCAATAACGCACCTCACTGCTTCTTTGTGTAGGGGGTCCCAGTGCTGCACACGAAGTTGAACAGTTTGTCTGGAACGACCACTTCGTGGTGCCCGTGGTGTCAACCGGGGGTGCCGCAGGTGGACAGTACGGGGTGCCGCTCAAGATTCTCGAGGTGAACTTCTGCACTACGCGGCTCCAAAGAGCAGCGCCTGAGCCACCCCTTTCTTTCTGCACAGACACCCCACTGCATAACGGAGGAGAAGTGGTCTGTGCTTTCGGAGAAGGAGGCACCGCCAGCAGAGGTGGCCAAGGCAGTGGTCGAGATTGTCATGCAGCTCAAGAAGGCCATGATCTCGCACACAAAGTCGCATCTGGTGCGGAACAAGTACAAGAAGCTCAAAAAGCGTGCCCGCCATGGGCGAGAGCCCGTGGAGCAGCAGACGTCAGACGCATCGCGTGCCACAGACCCCGCAGTTACTCAGAACACCAAGAACCCAGTCTCCTTCAGAGCCATGTCGCGCTGGCAGAGGATTCTGAAGTACTTCAGAAGCATTTCAACTTCATAGCACTTGTTTCTAAGTGACAAGGAAGGAATCAACTCCAAAGATTTAAGTCACACTCCAGCAATCAATGCACCTTGGGCATTTGTTGTGCAATAGTCTAGACTTCCTGCACAGAAGCCTGTCTTTTGTTTTAGGTGAGCATCCAAATGCTTCAGCTTTCTCAGCTGTAAAGAATGAAAGAGTAGAATGATTCACCTCACCCACACACTATTGCGACACACTTCCAAGCTTCATCACCATCTTGTAGCATCCTCACACTCCGCATCTTGTACTCAAGAGCAAGATCAACTGCCTTTTTTTAACATCAAGAACTTAACTTTATTGAGGTATTCAGACATAGCACAACTTTTTTTTTGCGTCTCATTTTGAGAGCGACACCTCGACAAACCTTTTCGGCTTACTTAAAAGGCCAACATGTTATCACAGTTTTTAGAGCGAACATGAGAGCAGTCGTAACAAAACCTGTCTAGAAAGCTACACCAAATGTCAAAAGGCGGTATATACAGGGCCTGAGTACGGAACAGATCACAATGATTGTACATACTCCTTTCCACATAATAAACTATCATCTTCTGAGCCACTGTCTCTGGCGTGCCACTCGGGAAGGGGGCCCAGTACACGGGAATCGATATTGGGGACGCTATGTACACACTGCCGAGTGCCCCGGGCTCACATGAGCTTGAGGCGTTGGCTGAAGTCCTTCTGCTGCTGCTCCTTCCACTCGCGCTTGACGTCCGAGCGTTTGAGCGACCCGTCCCAGTTCAGGTCCAGGAGGCCGCCCTGCTCCGCAATCTTGGACTTGACCCGGTTTGCAAACTCCACCGATGACTCCGAGTCCTGCATGCCCGGCCCCGTCAGGGCCCCCTCCCCCACACTGCACCCACCAAACTGCCTGGAGTCAATGACTCTATGCCCTAAGCACGGTGCAAGATATATATATATATACAGGTGTGGACACCATGCACGTCACAGCTGCCAGATAAAGTCCTCTCCTCGCCTTGGTTGCAAGCTGTGCTACCAGCTGGCTCCCCGATAAGCAGCTAATGACAGCCTGTCAAGGGGCCAAGTTTCCCATGCTTCTCCATGGGAGACAAGTTTGACTTTTAACGTTCTTTTCTGGATGCGCCACGTCATGTAGAACTTGGCACTTGCGCTGCGCATGTTGCTTAGACACCGCTTCGTCATTGAACCTAGTTTGGTGCCTAACAGCAGCAATAACAGATTTATGAATGCGTTGAAGCAGAGAGATCTCTGGCGCTGTGTTTAAGCCAGTGTCTGTCAAGGTCGGAACAGACGCTCCGAGCGCATTGAGTGCATGCACAGGCGCCATGGGAATGAGACACTTTTTTTCTTTTCTTGTTTCCTTGGTAGCGTTGTCTGGACGGCGGAGACGCTGTCGGCCGACGCAACTCGGGTGCGTGCAGAGAACTTTATCTAGTCAACAGACTACCTCCATAAAGCACTACATGCAACACGGCGCGCGTTGCACTCTGAGAACTAGTTGGCCAGGGAGGAGAGTGGCATGGTTTCGGTTTCGATCGACACATCAACAAGAGATTACACACACAGCTTGGACTATTAACGGCCGTTACCTCATGTTTTCTAGTCCCGAGAGCGTCATTTGTGGTCTCTAAACTAACCTATATGGCCAGACCTCGAAGCTTTAGCACAATCTTGAGACGTATAGCTTGTCTTAACACATGCTTGTAGTATTTTGTACTTGAGCCTTTCTGTAAGCGTTTTGAGGTATGTGGACGAGCCAGTGCTGGGAATGTCGACGCTGCAAAGCTCGGGGATCTTGCTTATGTACGAATCAACAAGCCGTAGCAACCAATAAGTATGCATACATCGAGCTCGCGCCTTTACATTAGTGTTGATGATCAGGAAGTTTGTTTGTTTCGTGCGTCCATAGACGAAATGTTACTTTTTGCAATTATTGTTTTCTTAATACGCCTGTGTACGCGAGGTAAAACTCGGAGGCGCCATTGAAAAGCTCAATTATAACACACTTCATATCTCTTATCTGTACTGACCCGCAGCACTGCACGAAGCTAAGTACCCACCCACTTGCATTTTACTAATATTCAACATAGCGTATGCGCGTAAAGTTATCGTACAATCGTATAGGGACATTCACACATACAAATCGTTTTAAGAAAGTAAAAGTCGAGTACTTGTGTGAAAAATGTCGCACCATTCGCCAGAAGTACGCCGGACGGGCATAAACCCCTATGCGGTGCGCCAAACGAACGAAATTATTCAAAGTGCATTTGACAGTTGCTAATGGCCAGAATATTTGTTATGTGTTTGCTTTCTTCCTGCCTGAGTATGCCGAGATAATTTCATACACACCGTTCAGGCACAGATCTTGGGCGTCAGTAAAAGCTCGTCCAAAAAGGCTTAGCGAGGAGTAGGGGACGCTTGTCAGGGCCTTCGTCGTAGCTAGCCGATCTCAGCGTTTACAAAAACTTAATCTTCTATCAGCCTAAAATTTGAGTGGCAGATATATGATGACACGAGGAAGACATCATAGTAACTTTGGTGCAGTAGTGAGGCCGAATTTATTGCGTTTCCTTAAAAGTTCATGCGTCAATGCTGGGCTCAACTTTGATACTCCTGTGAGGATGCGGTTTGCTTTTCGCCCAATGAAGTAACAAGAAGCGGACGTTTGGCAAACAAAATATGTGTAATGCTCCAGGTGACTGAATTTCACTTGTAGTTCACTGGTACTAGACAGGATTATTGAAATTGAACTCAAAGATAAGGTGACTAAGCCACGTCTTACTACGTTTGCATACGCACTCATAATATCCGGTGTTTCGGGAACCAAGGAAAGTGCACCGGCCTTCGTTTTGTATCGCTCGAGAATGAGTGTATTGTACATTCGTAAAAAAAGTCAGATAATCGAAAACGCAAGCAGCGTGTTCAGTCGCGGCGTGATAGCATGAGATGAAGCTGCTCAGTCGAAACCGAAACTGAGTGGCCAACTAGTTCCCCGAGTGCACTGTGTGGTATTGAGTCGCAATGGGGCACGTCGGTTGTGGAAGAAGTCCATTGCGTCGCAGCGTTCGCCATCCTGTGTGCCCTCACCTATTGGCGACTCCAGCGAAATTGACGGCACTTAGCGGTTAGAGCAAAAAGCTTTGGTGGCAGTTTCGCTTGCCAGCCTTCTCGAGTGAATTGAATATTCATAGCACCTTGCAGTCTAGAGAAGAGACCGTGAAAGTAAGTTAAAAAGTGTGCGATGAAAATCGTCAAGATACCGGGCGTCAATTTTTACTCGAAACAGATTTTTAAAAAAGGTCTCTTTACTGCTACATGAATGCCGTCGCTACTATACTTTTGTTTTTAGCTTCGCAGACATTCGAGGGGCAAAAAACCGTCACAGTCTGGTGAGTAATTAACTTAAAAATTTTAATTACCTTTTGAATTAGTGATAATAAACATGGTTTTCTATTAGAAATTTGCCGTGCATCATCCAAAACCACTAATTCAGTCATTTTCAAAAAGACTGAGCGCGTGAGAAGCGTAGTAGTGCGCTAAAGGTACAACTTGTGCAGCAGGTATAAAGCTACCGATGCGATAGGGCGCCTGTGCAATTTCCATCGTTTCTCATAGCCCCAGCCTTGTACCTGCTGCATGAGTGGTAACTTTACCGCAATACTGCACTTCTCGCGCTCAAAGTCGTTCTGAAAATTACTGGTTTACCGTAAAGTTCCGAAGGAACGCCCACCTAAAATGAAGAGATAAATGGTGAACAACATGGGGTGGGCTACCGTATTTACTCGAGTAATAGCCACACTATTTATGAACAGGGCCCTTGCGTCTACTTTCCCACAGAACACATATACAGCCAATCACTGCGTTGCGCATAAATAACGTAGCGAATAACCAGATCGAGAACACGATTCTCCATACAAATGCAATCTTCACCCCCTTGATGTGTGTAGAGTAAAGAAAAAAAAAACAATGCTTTTCAGTTTATTTTTTCAAAAAGGGCTTCATTGAGCAAAGTAAACCCATTGCAGGTAATGAACCCTTTTTCCTTTAAAGGCCGACCTACAACAAAGCGAGGGTGCGATTGCGATCTGAAAGAGGCAGCCTGCAGCACCGCGCAGTGTTTCGCACAGCGCCTGCTATGTGGCGCTGGGTGTACGATGCGGACACCGCTGGCGTGTTATAGCTAACAAAGTCCACCATAGTACCCTGTCTCACAAAATATAATTTGAGAAAAACAGCCTAGATGGAGGCATGCAAACATAAATTAACTTTAAGCCCGACCAGTGAGTCTTCGATAAATATACTTCATTAGAGATGCTACAGTTTTTATGCATGGGGTCAAAATAATTTGTGTTCGACATGCGGAAAAAACTACCTGGCACTTGGGTTAACTTATACCTACTACCCCCCCCCCGCAAGCATATCGGGCACAAGTCTTGGGTAAGGGTGAGCATACAGTTATGAGTATTGGAATAGTCCAAATTATGAAAAGTTACAAAACTCTCATATGATCCAATAATCAAGTAACCCCATTATTTTTCGGATCCCTAGCAGCTGCATCTGTCGTCAACTTACTGGCTTTCGGTAATACATGCAAGACTGGCTCAAATGTCTCACCTTTTTTCTCATGGGCGGCAAGTACCAGACATCGCAGACGATGGCCCACGACGACATCATCATTGCCAGGTAGTGTATGTAATTCTGCTTGCTACTATTCCAGAAAGCGTCGCCAAAACGGGCGTCGTACTTGATGGCTGCCGGGTAGATTGTACCGCCCACCTCAAAGCTGCCCTTCTTGAACTGCATCACCGAGGTGTTGTTGATGCACGTGCCTGCAGTTGTGTTCGGGTCAGCACATAGGCAATACACTGACCAAGTGTACTATGTACTTTGTGAGGGAACAAACAATACTCCACTCATTTGCACTAAAGACTTCATTAGTGGTGGCAGTCTGTAGCAGCATTTGGATGACTAGTTAAGACAGTCTCTTTGATACTCTACTAAAAACAAAGTCTTGCCTTTTCATGGCAACTTAGCCAATAACAGAGTGAAAAACAAAAACAGCCTCTAGCTGCCTGTGCGGCAGTGGTTCTATGCCGAAGAAAATGGTGCTACATGAACTATACCAAACTCCCCAGTGTTTCAAATTGGAGCCGGCAAAATAAATTGTATGCAAAGAAGCCGGTTTGTCATTTGTGAGCCACATGTTAATTTGTTTGTTCAATGATATGACTACCATATTTTCCGGTGTATAAGCCGTGGTTTTTTTTTCAAACATTTTTCTTGGTACAACTTGTACAACAATGCAACTTCTGTTGTTTTTTTTTTCGAGGTGCGACGCCAGTTTTTTTTATGCGCCGCGCGCCATTTTTTGTAGAGCACCATAACTACATAGTCATAGGTGGTGTTTCCCATCCAAGAGGCACTTCTGTCACTGCACTATTTTGACTCGGAATGCGAGATATTTTAATTTTTATGGTTTACCCAAAGCGGCTCAATGTGGATAGGCAAGACAGTGAGAATAAAGCTTTTTCAGCATGTTATTGATGTTGCCTAGTTCAGCCATGGTTCCATATTCTTTTGCTTCAGTCCAGTAACACTGAAAAATAAGTGGGCTGGTATACACGCATTGCAGAATATTTTCTCACGAGTTTCCGTTTGATAAGCAGTTTTTTTGTACCATGCTCCAGCCATGTTGCTACATGTAAAAGGAAATATTGTGGCTAGCCTATCTTTTAAAGGTAGCAAAAAAAAGTATGTCAAGGTTTATCTTTCGACCTGCTCATCGATGCTCACATCGTCTCCAGGACTTGGCCTAGGCTAGGCCTAGTGCTCCAAAGCTTGGTTCGCATGTGTTTAGGTCCTTAAACTTTTGTTCGCTAGAATAAAGTCGACTACCCTCTCATTTTGCACATTTTACGCCCTTTTGCTGCGAAAGACTCGATTGCCTCCGCCAGACTGTACTATACTATGGGCATTTCTCGCGAGTCGAAATGCACATCAAATGGTACATGCAATCTGTTACAATAGCAAAAAAAAAACTATTTGGAAGAAAAAGAACAGTGGGATTATTGAGTTTATGTAATGTCCATGCCACGAATGTGACAGCAGCAAGCAGGTCATAACAACAGATTGGACTATGTATCCTTTCAATCGGCACCATACTCCGTTAAAGGGGCACTGCAATGACTTTTTTTACTGATTTTTAATTTGCACCCAACCTGAGCGCACTGAACGCAGTAACTTACTGAAACTTTTCTTTTCTCGAAATTCCCTTTATTTTAAAAGTTATAGGCAAATTAAAATGACAAAAACAAGCAAAAAATAACCTCCCTCATGACGTCCTTGGTTGCTTGAGAGTGGCCGTGAACTAGAGGAGAAGTAGTGAGCTCATCGAGCGCTCATGGCTGCCGCACTCCATGTCGACGGCGCGAGAGGGCGCCATTAAAGCGTGTTCTGCAGAGCCAATGTACGGCTCTGGCGTTCTGGATGGGCTGTATGCAGCGGGCAGCCAGAGCGGCTCTCATTGCATTTGCTGCGCGATTAAACACTAATTCGGCATGGCACTTCATTGGCAACAAACGACAGCAAATACGGGGTAAAGATCAGTTCAGAATGGGAGCTACTTTGCGCTGCCATACCGCGAAACGGCCAAACCGCAAGACACAGCTTCTCGCCGAAGGCCTTCGGAACGCTCGGAGCCGGTCAGATCCTCCTGCTCATACAACCGCAGCGCCGCCGCGTACATCCGGGACCTTTCCGTGTCGGCGCCTGATCCCACTATTCCTTTCAAGTATGCCGCCGCCTTTTCCACCGCTTGGTGGCGGGTATGTCGACGGGTCATATCTTGTTTCCATACTTTATGAACTGCATTCGTTTCTTTTTTGACCTAAAATACTGAACAAAAACTACTTTTATAAATAATTGAAACGGTTCGCGCCACTTATATTTTGTATTTCGACTAAAAAGAAGCTTTTAGCAGCTCTGACCAGTAGTAAGCCCAGGACCAAAGACGTCACATTTTGCGCGCTTTCGGTACCGTGGGTCGCCCTCGTCGGTGGAGGAGGTTTCATCGTCGTCCGGTTAAAATATGAAGCACTGATATTTAGTTACTCTCTCCGTGCCCGCTGGCTTGCCTGAACCCCAAGAGACGTGGAAACCACAAAAAAGGCAGACACTTAAATATGATTGCAGGGCCCCTTTAAGCATAACTTGCCATATGTTAAAAGCTATGGTCCTAGCAAACCATTCAGTAGTGTATTGGAGTGAGGCAAATGCCAATGTATAACATAGCACAGAGTGCACTCCTCCTGTAGAAGGCTGTCGCTTTGCTCTCTAACTGGCTCATGAGGTCCATAGATTTTGCATGTTAACAGGTTACGCTGAAAGGTGTCTGTTCAAAGAAGGACATGCTTACTAAGTTACGCTGCCACGCCTGCTCAAAGAAGCATAAACTCTACACTTAATCAAGGTTAATCAATCATACAGGCACATATGCCCCACAGGCAAAAGCTTTGAAGAACTTTCCTTTGTAGTTTTTTACATTCAGGAAAAAATTGTTACCTAGCTGCATGCATGCCTACAGGTGTTCAAGCAAAAATTGTGCAAAACATAGAATTATCAAATTCAAAGGGAACAGACACAACAAATGTAAAACTATCATAATATCCCGAGATAGACCACCCCAGCACGATTTCCTGCTCATGCAAAATTACACAAAGATGGCCCACTCTTAGAAATCTAACTGGCAATGTGACCTTGGCAGTAAAGAGGACGCTTTTTTTCACCAATATGCTGCATTCGTTGGAGCCTTCATTGGTGCCATTTTGAATCGCTTAAAGACAACATTCAGCCAACCAAGACTGCTTTGCTACTAGGCCTATCAACAGAAACCACTTGCATTCAAAGGACATGAAAATAACAGCGGCCGTGTTATAATTGTCACAGAAACGGACAGATGGTCATGGCGGCTGTAGCGAAACTGGGACAGCCAACTATAGCCTCAATCTAGCTTTTTCCATTGCATGGAATGTGGGATGTAGCGACGTTACAGGACAAAAGTAAAGTGGTGGCAACATTAATGACTTCAACGGTCTTGCGTGCAAGCAAGGCAAACCAAATTAGAAAAACTGAGCAACAAGTTCAATGACTGAAATTTTAGTTGCTGTTATACATGAACTCTCTGGGGCGAGTGAGAGTCTCACAGACAGATCAGAATATTCGAGCATGCCTGAAATTTTTGAAGTCCGAAAAGTCAATTGGTGACTGTAAACTAACTTTTATAATCCAATAGCGTGAGTGACGAGTTCTTTAAATAGGCCACAAATAAACAGATTTTCATGTTCTTTAGAAGACTTTGCATTCCTGGCCTGGATACAATGTCTCTGAATTTGTTCAGTCGCACTCCGAAAATTATCCCGCCCCTTATTTTGAGCCAATTTCCTTTTGATCTTAGCTGGGTTATATCTCGGCATATTATGTCTATAAAACCTGTTCTGACTATGGCCAACAGATCCTTAACCCTTTCCCTACCATGGACGACCTGAGTTCATCCACACTGTTTGTACCGCTCCCCCCGAAGACGAGCAGGGCTCGTCCACATTGATTTGGGCTCCAATACACTACCATGGACGAACTCGGCTAGTCCACGTGTTTCTAGTGAGCTTTGCCGTGGATAGATGGCGCTTCCTGGAAAATAAAATCCTGGTAAATTTCTGAATTTGGCAGAAAATTGTTCCAACGCAGGCAACAAAGGATTTAAAAATGGTGACGTCAACTTCTGGTCGCTGCGTTCGTAGTGACGATCTTGCCTCAAAATTGGGGCGAAAACGAAGATATTGTGACGTCTCTTCAGATTCAGAAGACGAGGAAATGAATCTTTCATCGAACAGCGGAGCAATGCAACTGAGTTATTGGATTTGAGCTCAGATGACTCCGATTTCGATAAAGACATTGTGTCGGCGTGTCGGCATGGACTGGAATCAATGTAGAAAATCCCCCTCTAGCCCCTCCACGTTTGCATTCACTTGCGTGCAATGGGATGTGAACTGTCTGCAGTACTGCTACACCCGGCCTGAGCGTCCATGTGCAAGGTGATGTGAACTGTCTGCGGTAATGCAGTGAAGCGAAACTTTAGTCCCTTTTTCTTTTGCAGTGTGTTCAAAGATTTCTCATACAATAAATATTTTGGCATTTGTTTTTGGCCTTTGTATTGCATATTAAATTTATAGGGCACATAAAAAATTCGGCATTTTCAAATCGTTTTTTTTTTCAAAAATTTTGGCGGTAGACAAAGGGTTAAGGCAGTGCCTCCCAAACTGTGGGTCGCGAAGCGTCTCAAGAACTTGAAAAAACGCAAACTCGGTTTCTCTGCAGTTGCGTCAATGAAAACGAAGTACAGGTCGCAGCTCATCACCGAGCCAGAACTAAGAGTTGCGATGTCCAAAACCTGCCCTCATTTTAAGAAACTGTGCTCTAACAAACGAGCAAATTTTAGACATTCGGAGTAGGCATTGCTGCATGCATGCATACTTTTCTTTTTGTGATGGCTCAGCAGAATCACTAGAACTATATTAACTGTCAAATAAAATTTCCGCATAAATTTTGTGTATTACTAAAAAGGCTGGGGGCGCTGCGAAAAAGCCAGGGAGGGAGGTTAACATTTTTGATGCGTCACAGGGTACTAGCAAAGTTCGGAAACTTAGGGATTGTCCTGTCTTAGTGGCAGACATTACCTTCAGGGAAAATGAGGATGGGCAGCTTGGTCGGGTCTTCCACATGCTCTCGCAGCCTGGAAAAAGCCGGAATCAGTTACTCGCCGACCAACTGCATGAACCGACGCCACACACACACACCGTTTTGCAACTGCCTGCCGGTCCTTGATCTCGGCTCGCTCAAACCAGATGTGGGAAGCGGCCTTGTTGAGCGCTGTCTGAATGACGCCAATGAATCCACCCTGCGTCTGCCCCACCTGCAGAGTGTGTGGCATTTGAGTGGCTACTCCACTCATTCAAGACTGTTAAACTCACCAAAGCGTAGCAGTTGTCGCTAGCCAGCATGGCCACGTCAATGGGGGACGTGTGGTTGGCAACGCAGATGCCACCGGGCTTGGCCCGATTCTCTCTGCGCATAACAGGGAAGGAAGGGGCACCAATCAGAACATTGCATGGGTTCTAGATCACTGTCAATCAGAGTGCCATAACAGCATCATATTTCAAGGCAATTTCGGTTAGAAACAGCAGTGGCATTCTATAGTGCGGCCGCATTATCACTCTTCTAATCACATCCGAAAGGGCCCTAAATGGGAAAAGTGTTACTGTATTTACTTGAGTTATAGCCGCACTATTTATGAACAAGGCCCTTGCGTCTGCTTTCCCGCAAAACACATATACACCCAATCATCGCGTTGCGCATAAATAACATAGCGAATAGCTAGATGGAGAACATGATTCTTTATACAAATGCAATCTTCATAGATGGTATCTTCGCACGAAGACATTATCTTTGTCCTGTAAACAGCTGGAATCATGCTGTCGATCGCGGTGATTGGCAAGCCGCATGCCTCGCGGAAAAGCGAACCCTCAGGTTTTCTTCATAAACAGTGCGGCTATTACTCGAGTAAATACAGTACATTTATTTTGTGGCCATTTAGCTGACAAAAACATAAAGAGAAAACCAGGGGTTCTAAATCTCTAGAAAGTAAAGATGCTCCTGGCACTGTTAAATACACAAATTTTCAAAGTGAAAAGCACAGAGGACAAGAAAAAAATATGATGTTCCAGTGGATGTCCTTTGTTAACCCTTGAAGAGTGTCTGCCTGAAATGTTTTGGTTAAGTAAGCATTGATTATGTTAATATTGTGTTCAGTACAAACTCACTATATAACAAGGATAATATATGTCACATTACTTTTCTCCCCTCCCCTTTCCAACCTTACCAAAAATCTTGCATCATTAGCTGCTCGAGTAAATGAGCAACTTTATGCAGAATCTCTGCCAAGTATGCCACAAAACCGTTATGCATCCATGTGTATCCATATAATGAAGCACAACCTATCTTTGTGGACTGACCCTGAAGAATGCTTTGAAAACCATACTGTTACGTCTTATTATGTTTTGCTTTGGCAGACACACATTTGCAGCCTTACTGACGTAGAGAAGAAACAACTTTCATTATGTTGTCTTGTCTTTCTAGACTTGAAATTTATCGTTATCTTGCTATTATACCTTGCTTTTTTAACATTACTACTACCGCATTAAACGCACCATTCTAAGCCCATTGGATATTAATGATGCAACATATGATATTCTAAGACCGGTGGTATTCGTGCAAATGCAAGCTCAGGAAATGCTCACGTTTTCTACTAAAAGAATTACCGTAGAATACTGCGGAAGCATTGACTTCATTCAAGTGTCCACAATTAACATAGATAACTTTGGAATTCTGCAAATTATACATAAAGGGGACACTGACAGGATATTTATGCTCGCTAAGGTTTTATTTGTACATGACATATGAGGCCCAGCTACCCAAAACACAATTTGCAGCTCAAAATTCGGTTGTTTGGCTCCCAAAAACCGCCGATCGAGAATTGGCCGGTTTGAGTCGTGCTCACTCTCTTCTCCATGGTTATGTGCCATTCAGACGCACGTATCAAATATGACCAGTCGTGGGTAATCAAAGGCACACACTCAATATCAAAAATAGAAAAAATATGAAACCCATTTTTTGGGGGGGGCTTTTAAAAAACTAAAAATACATTGAAAATTTGCAGAGTACCCATCTACTGTGTAATTCTCAACATACGCCCTATTGCAAAACTTAAAAAAAAAAAAAAAGTTGCACAGAGTACTCATTTATTGCGTAATTCTCAACATGGTGTCAGTCACGGGCTGGACGGCTGGACAAAGCGGACTATAAATGATGGCAGCAGACAACGGGCGTGGGACCTCTACATCAGAACTGTCGTTTGTGGTACCGGCGAATCTGTCTAGCTTTTAAAGATATTTTGCCAATCAAAGCACTTAACATTTATACCGTATGACACGCCCGACTACCAAGCTGACTCACACCAAGAAGTCACCGAGTCGTCGCCCCTCCTCCTGACTGAAGACATCGCTAGTCCTATGAACAAGAATTGGTAAAAGCTTGAAAAATGCACAAGTGTCAAGCATTTTGTGATTGATGTTTGTATGTTCGTCTTTTTTTGCACAACCAAAAAAAAAAAAAATAAAAGCGGTTGGATGTAGCCACGCGACTTTCGGCCAACTCTATCCTTCTCTATATTCGTGCCTCTCCCCAAGTCTACATGTCGTGGCCATTAACTTCGTGCTCTTGTTTCGGTTTTGGTCAGTTGCATTTTTTTACTTTATAAAATATATGTAACTAGCAAAATATTCAATGGGTAATCTTCCAACACCATATTAAATCGCCTGGCAAAACATTAAAAAAAGGGGAGGGGGGGGAGTTGGTGTTAGTGTCCTTTTACGTGCCCCATTCGACTGTACAAGCACCCATGTCTAGATCAACCCAGTTTTCAGTGAAAGTGGGGCAGCCGCTCCTCCGGTATTTTACAATAAGCAATGAAGAAAATATCACTGCACAACTTGACCTCCCATGCATGCATATTTGGACACACCAAAAACTTTTGCACCTAGCCTTGAGACTAAATGTGCAACCAAAATATGGGAAACAAGTATGTAGTGATCTTTTTATGAAAAGTTGAGTGTGTTGGTGACTCGATTATGAAAACAAAAGAGAGACATAAAGGATGACCAGATGGCTTATGTCGGCCGTTTTGCATCTGTCCCTCTTTTGTTTTTGCATTCTAGTTAGTGATCGTTTGCACTTATTTATTGTACAGTTTACTAAATCCACTAGATAAAAATGTTGTGCCAAAGTAAAATGAACCAGCTTTATCGTCGTGACAACAAGAATACATGTCAGTCACAACACAGCTTACCTATTGTGGTAGGTGACAATTGCCGACACTGCCCGCGACAGAATTCGGAAGGTGATCAGGCTGATGTGCCAGTAGAGAAATCGCTTGAACCTGAAAGCAATCCATACACCAGTTCACACATCATTCCATCACACCGACCACAGGAGAAAACTCACCGGCCCTCGGGGAAGTATCCCAGAATGGCGGTGCAGCAAATGAGCCAGAGCATACCAACGCATGTCAGTGCCACCCTGAAAGATAAACGATCATGTCACCCCACCCTCAGGCACTTTAGGATGATCTTAGAAAAAGGGGAACACTTCACCTCATGGGGAAAAGGAAGACGTAACGAAGTATGCAACCGATGCACCAGATGACGGTGAGCCGAAAGCTGCAAGCAGTTAGAGAATCGTAGGTGAGGACCACAGCAGGGCCCGGGTGAAGCAGGCTTACCTGACAAAAGTGTAGTTTTTGTTTGTTCTTGTCAGCAAATTCCAAGAGGGCAGCTCTTCAGTCGCAAACCGCTTGGTCACCACATCGTCAATGATCGCCTGGAAAGGGGCGAGCCTCTCAGAATGATGCGCCATGCACTGCTAAAAACCTACTCACCTCTACGCCTTTCTTGATAAAATAGGTAATATCTCCTAAGTGGTACTCCTTGAAAGGAATGTCAATTATTGGCTGCTCAGCTCCCACAAGAACATCATCCCTTGTAATGACTGCAAGGAAGGCCTCATGCAAAGGACTGCGTTGCGGCACATTTAGGGACGCTAGGCAAAGGCTTCCCACTGTCCTACCTGAAGTGGCGTCGACAGGCGGTTCAGAGTTCAAGGTCGTTAGGTCGTCAATGCTCTCCTCTCGCATGAGGCGCTGTCGATTGGCTCGTTCGATTTTGATGCGTCCATACTGCAATGTTTAAACTAGATATTTCAGCAAGGTATGGGCACAAGTGGCATACAGGGACTCAAGAGAAGGTGAGTTGCAAAAAGAAGTTATCTTTGCAAGCAGTATGTTCCTCCAGAAAAAGAACATAAGGTTGCACACAAAAACTGCTTCTTTGACCAAATGTCCAATACTAGACACTCGACCAATCCAGCAGGCACTTTTTAATCTAAGAAATTTCACAGATAAAAAGCAGTGCTAGGAAACCAAATTGTGTTTAAATCGTCCTTGCTTCACAGATTTATAGCTCTTTTCAGTGAGGAGTTTCTACACATTTTCGACCTTTCTCTGTCCAAAGTAGAACCTAAAGCATTCTTATTAGTAAAAAAAAAAGCTTTGCTTAAAAGAAAAAGAAAAAAAGCTCCTCTAAGCTAGAAGTATGATTTTCTAATAATAGACCCTTTTAAAAAGTGTGCGCCATATAGTATCTGATGTGCAATTATCCGAGTTTGCCAATGGCCTTCGAGATTCTTGGCGCGCAAAGCAGAACACTGCACAGGCCTACCTTTTGAGGCCCAACCCAGGCCCGGCCCAGTGGAATGCCTACATGATCCGGCCCAAGTCCGGCCCGCTGGAAGTACCTCAACGGTGGAGATAAAGCATGTCGCGCCAGGCTCCGGTTCGAAAACAATGTGTCCTACCTGACCCACCCCGTCCTGGGCTTTCAGTTGGCCCAGGCCCATGCACAGCTCTAGCATAAAACTCTCCTCCGGCTGTTCCATTAGTCAAAAGAAGATTGACATAAAAAAAAGAATGGCTCGCAGCTGTTTTTATTGCACAGTGGCGCTAGGTAGAGGGCTGGGCATCATCATTGGGCTTGGTTGGCTGGCTGCCCGGCTAGTAAAAATGTGCTATCACAACGTACATCACTTTTTTGAGGAAGCGATAGGTTGAGATATGAGTGTTGCTCTTCCAAAACTGGGAAAGATGCAGAATAAATGCAGGCCTGATTGTTTTCAGACAAACTGAGCGTCCAATCATTTTTGATAAAAAAATATAGGCGAACCAATAATGAATCTCGAACTTTTGGACTCAGAAACACCACTTTCTTTGCAACACTGAGCAGGCGAAACGTAGTGCTCAATATACCCTCGCAGATCGCATTAATGAATAGAAGGTAAGAAAGGTTCATTGGTCTTGTCATCCGCTTGAGACTTCAAACCACATTGTTTCTTTCGTGATATTGTTGTTTCTTTAATTCTACCCATTGTTTCCCTTCTGCTGTTATTTGCGTTTCTCTCAAGTGTTCCCCAAACGCTGTCTCGCCACTACTTTGCTGTCGGCAGGGCTTCGATGGCTTCGGCCTTGTCGCCGCAGTGGAATTTTCTGTAACAATCTCTCAAACTGTTTACTGATGATCAGGGCCGATTTGCTAGAAGCCGCATCTTAGCAAAGGCTGCGCGAAAAAAGGCACTGCCTGAACGAGTGCATGAGCTGAGCGGCACCCGAATCCCGTCTCAAAGCGCTCGTGCGCCTCAGCCTTCATTGTGTTAACGAAAATATGAGCTCGTTACTGCGTGCACAGATTTAAGCTTTGAGATGCTGATGCCAGTCCTGTATCAGCACCGTTTTGCAGAGCTCTGGAGGAGCTGTGCTATATGCTGCTGCTGCGCGAACTAGCCTTTCGAAGGGCCGGAAGAGAGCTTTGCACGCCAAGAATCTCGGAGGCCATGGTCCGCCACTGCTTGGGCACATACTCGAAGCATATATTAGACACGAGGGTTGCATCGGTGTTCGGCATGAACTCGGCTCAGCTCGTATAAAAAAAGAGGGCTACATTAGTGTTTCGCCTGAACTCGGATCCAAACACACGCTTTGTGCCCAAGAAATGGCACCTGCCAATGTTGCTCGAAGGGGTTTTGAAAGGGATGTATTACAGTCGATATTGGACATGATGCTAAAAGTTGCTTCCCTATTAAAGATGGGCAGATTTAAGCAAAAAGAATTCCTGGTAGGGATCTTTCAAGCCTTGAAAACTTTTGTAGCTGCTGTTGCCATTGGTAACCTAACACATTTTTCTCACTAAAAGCTTGAGCTGCGATTAATGAATTTGCGAGGGACTGTGTCCACACTTAGTCCTTGACATACCATCAATTATACTTTGCCATCCATGCTAACAACTGACACTAAAATGTTCCGACACGTTATAAACCCAAAGGTGACGACATCACCTTCAATGACGGTGCTGGTAAAGTTATCCCTTCTAATCAATGTGCTGTTGCTCTGAACAAAATGTTTACACACAACTTCTGTCTCGCTACCTGCTACACACTGCTATGGCTACCTTGCAAAGCTTCCTATGATTATATATATCGGTGGTGTAAAAAGCATACTTCAATAACATAAACCTTATTTTGCTCCTGGCTATGGTTTAGTCGACCAGCAGTATTAAAAAGTATAAAATTTTATTGTTGCGCTATGCCAGGGGTGGCCAGGCTGGCCCGGCCTTAGAGCCGAAAACAAAACCATCAAACTTCCCAAGAGCCGCGGGGGGAGGGGGGGGGGGGGGGGGGGGGGGGTGCAAGGCAAACGTTTGTCCAGAGCAATAAAAACTCGAACTACTTTCAATCTATCGATCAAAAGCAGTTTAACTGTTCGTGAACAGTTCAACTGTACACATAAAAACTCGAGCTACTTTCAATCTTTTTTTTCAATAATTTCAATCAAAAGCAGTTCAACATGAGGAAGTAGTAGCACAAGACTACCATACCGCAGCCTGTCTTTCGATTTAAAACGCGTTCCATTTCTCTTTTTGAGGAAGTGCTCGTGTGACCGCGAGGGAGGTGGAGAAGTTGAGGGGGGGGGGGGGGGGGGGGGGGGGGAATAGAGGGAGCCGCGAGCCGCACTTTAGCACAGAAAGAGCCACATGCGGCTCGCGAGCCGCAGCTTGGCCACCCCTGTGTTATGCTATCAAAATTTTTCAGCAGCAGTGGTTTTCTCCCTGCCGAGTGAATGGTCGGAATGGAAATTCTGCTCCATAAATCAGGTAACAAGTATTCTCCACTTAAAGGGAAGCTGAAACACTTCTTGAAAAAAACGAGTTAGAGGTGAATTCTGGCGTATTTTTATCCCGTGAATCTGAATATCACTTTTGTTTTCCCTGAAGATGCAACTAAAAGCGAGAAAAAGCGAAAGAACATTCGACCAGTCGTGACGTCATACTAGGATCTTCGGGCCGCCAAGCGCGTGTCGCTCGTGTGGGCAGCGCGTGCAACGGCAATCTTGCCAGGTATATTTCCCCGCACTGACACCAGTCGTGACGTCTCTTTCTGACCTTTCTGAAAATAGCAAGAGTGCGCGTGCATAGCTTCGACAGGCGCTGAAGATGCACGAGAGCAGAGATTCCGAAAGCTCCTAGTGTGACGTCACGCCCCGGGAAGGAGGGGCTTCGGCGGTACTTTAAAAATTAATTTCTGAAGCCTCCGTGCACCAAATTGAAAAATAATCTCGATATTCCTGATCCTGGAGGTAGAATGAAGGCCATTGAAATGTTTTTTCTCAAATAGAGAACCGCTTCAGTTTCCCTTTAATTAAAAGGCCCCTAAAAAGAAAAAGACTTTTTTAAACAGTCTGGTTGGGACACGCATGTCAAGAAATAAAGTTTATGCAAAACAAAAAAGTTTTTTTAGAACAATATTGACGGCGACAGATTTATTTGAAATTCTGCGCGCAAAGTCCATGACGTCACGGAATGGTCATTCGCTCTTTCCACCTCAACGTGAAGGCGAAGCCAATCCACCTCTCCTCCACGCGCTCGAAATGCAGATAGAGAAAACAAGTGGAAAGGAGGTGACTGCCGGCTAAATCGCGTCTCGCGCTGTCAATATTGCTCAAAAAATATTTTTCACAAAATTTAATTTTTTGACACGCGTGTCCCAATTAGATTGATAAAAAAAAATGATTTTCAGAGATCCTTTAACAATTAATTTCTCTCACCAACATCTCATGTAATATTTTAGTGCAGATTCTGTTTTCAAACCACGCCAACTTTCCTCCATCTAATTCATTTTTACATTTTTACAACATGGCTCCTGAAAAACGTGTGAAACACAATGCCCATCTTTTACACCAAAACTAAACACCATTCTTGACCATTCTTCACTAGCCAATTGCATCTTTTTAGGCTATTCAAAAGCATTTGATAAGGTATGCCACTGACTATTACTGCATAAATGAAATCAACTCAATCTTGATACCAAACTTTTTACATGACTTAAATGTTTTCTTGTTAGTCATTCACAGCTCGTTGCAGCTATCAATCTAACATCTCAGCCAAGTGGCGTCCACTCGGGTACGCCACCAAGGTTCTGTCTCTTAGACCTCTTCTTTTCCTTACCTACATTAATGATCTACCTTCTTGTGTTTCTTACCAGATTAGTTTTTCCAGGAAATTAGTTTTCCAGGAAATACGACGACATAACCACTCTCTAATCCGATCTTAACGCTATCTCTGCATAATGCAAATTGTGCTGCATAGAACTAAGCATAAACAAACAAATTTATGTGCATGTCCAGAAAGACTGTCTACCTATTCCCTGTCTTAATATTTGCCCTTGGATGCTCTACCTTGCTGTAAATACCTTGGAGTTCACATTACATCTAATCTTACTTGTATCCTTCAGGCTGATACATAGTTAATAATGGTAACTGAATTGCAAGATATCTCTGCTGTAATTTAGCAAAAGCACTTTCATCTACAAAACTATTTCTGTGCAAAGTACTTTTGCACTTAAAGGAGGGGCACTGAAGTCATTTTTGAAAACAATCGTTTTTGATCTTATATTGTTTAAAATGTGTTAGTTCCCACATATACCAAGTCCTATATTACAAAACCGCCTATTCATCTCAGGACAATAGAAAAACATGGACTCTTTTTTTCTCGCAGACTACATTGTCAGGACCAATGAAAGCCCTACAATACACGCAGATTCCGAAAGAATTTATCATAACTCGCTTCGAATTGAGTCTGATAGGTACACATTCGGATAAGACTGCTCTTTTTCTCCGCAAGCAAAGCCATCGCTTGCAACTCGCCTACAAGCGCCCTTCGTCGACCCCTTTACCTCGGAAGAAAATTCTTCCCAAAAAGAGTGTGTTGCGATCTTTGAACACGCTTTGAACAAGGAAATAAGGTATGCACGGCTCTGGTTTCAGGTTTTTTGGGAGCGGCTACATTGAGTTGTCACCACAAAAGGACGATCCCAGAATCGACTTCAGTGCCCCTTTAAAACCACTATATTCCGTTTCAGTTTGGGATTTAAGCCAAGAAAACTTAATAGACTATATAGAAATGGTTAAAAACAATTTTGTCTGTTTCATATTGTCTAAGTAAAACAGGACTGGAAGCATTAGTACAATAAAGTCTAGCCTACCATCCCTAGCATCTTGCAGTAGAACCCTTAGTTTCTGCCTCTTTCACCAGTTAGTAAATTACTATTACCTGTGCGCTAACCTGATTTTTCCTGTTCAATATGTTTTGTCTCGATTAGATCATGCTCATAAGGTTGGAATTGCATATTGCCTAACTAATAATTTTTCAGTAATTTTCGCATACATCAGAAGAGTGGGATTGCCCTCCCACACTATCAGCATCAATTGAAGATCACCAAGAGCTCAAGAACACCATAGCTAATAATGTATAACTAGGAGCCATTTTATTGTTCTAATAATAACTGCACTCTGCGACTTCATCATTCCACTCTCTAGTGCCTTAAGGCCCGTCCGCACTCTTGCGACTGATTTCGACCGAGAGAGACCAGACCGGTTTTTAAGCCTTTTGCGACTTCTAAGGTCCGGACGCGATGCAGCGGAGCTGGTCCTAAGAAGTCACAAGAAGCTTAAAAACTGGTCTGGTCTCTCTCGGTCTAACTCGGTCGCAAGAGTGTGAAAGGTATACAAAATAAATAAATAAATAAATTTCAGGTAGAGAGTATGTCTGAACTTAGTTTTTGCCGTACCATCAAGTTATCCTCTTCCAGGTTGCTCATTGTTTATGTGTTAGTCGCCAAACTTACCCTAGACCAGGGGTGCACAACATGCGGCCCGCGGGCCGCATCCGGCTCGCGGGCCGCATCTGGCTCACAAGCCGCATCCGGCTCACGGGCCGCATCTGGCTCGTGGGCACTTCCTGTGCGGCCCACGGAGACATGCTCAAGACAGCGACCAGTGCGATGATGCCAGATATTGAAAACCTGTCTGCCAGTTATTAAAAACCTGCATAGTTCCCAATAAACATCTTTTTGGCCCACGTCATTTTTGAGTTGTGCAACCCTGCTCTAGACCATGGGTTCTCAAATTGGGTTCCTAGGAACCCAAACAGTTCACCAGAGTTCAGAGCCAAAACCAGGAGGGAAGGGTTTTTCGGCCTTGATTCAAGTCAGGTAGGGGTTATCGAGATCAAGAAGTTCGCGAACCCCTGAGATGCAAGAGACAACTTCTCCCTCTCCCCCTCAAAACTTTCAACTTGTATAGTGAAGACAACCAAAACGTATGCATGCACAAATCACGGTACCGGTAGCGCCACTACAAAATCGGCAATCACTTGCACAACGTTAATGTTGTCCTTTAAACATTACAGCTCGACTGGAGGTCACACAATCACACATATAACGGCGGCTAGTTTTTTTATTTTCTTCGTTCCCTCTCTCTCCTTGTGCGTTTACAAAGATGCCTGCGAATTTCATACAAACACAGGGTGTCACAAAAAAAAAAAAATCTACAGGGTTTTTTTATAACAAAAGAAACTAGGCATCGCCAAAAGGTCATTCTCCGCTCAAAGGTAGCGCTAGAGGTCACATCCAGATGCCAAAGTTTCAGCCCGATCCGATACCTTATTCAAAAGTTACAAGTGATTTTCTGAAAATTTCAAATGGGAAACTGGAGCCCATTTTTGCCCGTTTTCGGTTTCTGGTGCCCATAGAGCCCCATGTATTCAAAAAATCCGTCCGCCGCCATTTTTCCATTGAAATTTTCAGAAAAACAGTTATAACTTTTGAATAAGGTATCGGATCGGGCTGAAACTTTCTCATCTGGTTGTGACATCTAGCGCTACCTTTGGGAGGAGAATGAGCTTTCGGCAATGCCTAGTTTATTTTTGCGGTGAAAAAAACCCTGTAAATATATATATATATATTTTTTTTTTTTTTTGTGACATCCTGTACTTGTCCTGTTTGTCGGTCTGAAGTGACCAGACTATTTAACATGAATACGAGACCATGCGTTCGTTTTAAACGTGTAAAATTCCTGTTTATCCCTCCGCAAACCATTTGCCCAAGTCGTGAGGAACGACACACGGGTGTTTGCATAATTGTGGCATCAGACGAGGCGGCGCCGCGGACCCTTACGGAACGGGCTAGTCGCCTCTCTGCTGCGTCCTGCCTCTTCAGAGTCACAATAAATATTATTAGTGTAGAAGTATTACCTCAAAACAACAAATAGTGATTACGCGGCCGGAGCGAACGCTTCTAACGCATCTGTATGCTTCAAACAGCGAACGAAAAACACCCGGACAACTTTCGGAGCGGCTGTTCCGCAGTGCAATCGCAACGTGGGTAGCCTCTCGTCGTCCTCGTGTCGCTGACCGTTAGCCAACACGACGAACTGCTTGAGGGAGTGTCGCCGGGCGATCTCACGACTTGATAGGAACCTGCACACTACAACGCCCTGTAAGCGATGCGTGCTACTGTCCTGGCCAGCTACAGGTAGAGAGGCCGATGCCGGTGGCGTTTTCATTTAGAAACCGCAGTGCAACAGCGAGCACAAGAAAATCGAGCGGCCATGAGCGTGGAGTCTATCCTCGCATCTTGCCCATGAGGATGAATTCGGGTAGATGCGATAAGAGCACGCCGATGGCAAGACGACGAATGCCAAAGATATTGCACTGGACGGACGGCGATTGCGGCTGTGCGACCTCCAGCGTGCGCCGAACACGATTCAACCGCGAGGAAAAACAGCGTATACAACCGACTCGCCACTCGCGCTTTGCAAACTTACCTCAAACAGTTTGAGAAGAAACTTTAGGTACTGCTTTCGGATTCCCAGGGTAGTGTTTGTCACCGAAAGGAGGTACAACAGCAGAAGCACGGCGCATAAACCAGAGAAAAACATTTGGAAGGGATGCGATAAACTCCATAATAATGATGTAATCGCGTGAGACTTCAAGTCCATTGCCATTCACCGTCGATCCCTGCACTCGCCTTACCCAACAATCGCAACAATCGCCACTTGCGTGATTGCAGCCTACCCAGCCTACCACCGCATCGGCCACGATTTGCAAACGCCACAAACTCCACAAATAATCGGACAAGGTTAGCCGCGAAATCAACGCGAAATATCCGGGACTGAAATGTGTGAATTTATTGTCACTCGTTATATATACTTAAACATATTAAATATATTAGTACAAACGGTATTTTGGTCTAATTTTTACACCTTAGGGCGTTGCTTATGGCAACTAAAATTTCTGAAAATAATATTTTGATTGTCAGTGACTACTAACGCCACTAGTAAAGGTCGGTGAAACGAGTGAGTATGATTGTACCAGGCCTGGAGCGAGCTCAGGGGCTCGAGTGCAATTTTTCGACCGGCTTCGTGTGTCTGCAGAAGGTTAGGGTTCTATCGTAGAACTTCATCGACATTATAATGGTCGAATTAGCTCCTCCAGTTGCCGTGTCGCCATTCATTCGGGTGCGTATCTAAACTGCAGCATCAGAAACGTTTTTAATACTATACAGCGTGCGAACTCGTCATCGTATTCACCTTTCACTCTAGAGGTCAAACGGTGTAGTCGACACATTTAAACGGCTTTACCGATAATGCGGAACTTTGATCGCCAAGTGTGGTGTACTCTGCGTGGGTATTACAGTATTTTGTACTCCAGGAGCCTGGAAAGAATGTTTATTAGGTCGTTTTGCTGGCGTTTGCGTGCTTCGCTCTCTAGGCCTACATAGTGATCATGTTCGTTGTGTTAAATCAGCCGCGAGCGGAGATAGCGAAGAAAATGAGTAATTTAGCCTGCTGAAGTTTCTAGCAGTTTTGTTCGAAGTAAGTAGTTGCAATAGAGAAGTCTGAAGGTTGCTGGCCAGCGGTTGTCGTTGTTCTGTTACTCGTGAGGGGAGTTGATCACTCACGAGAACTTTTGGGATGGCTTACGTGATCCTCTTCTCGCGTGGTCTAGACGGCGAAACGCTCTGAAACGTTGGTCCTACTTTTCAGGCTTGCCGATGGGGAGCACTCACTGCAGGCGTTTTCTATGGAGCGTACCATTTCAGTGAGTTGTTTCCGTCTGTTACACTTGGTTCAAATGTTTAAAAGGCAAACGTAGCTCCTCTTAATGTGAACGATGGGATGAAAGTGCTCAACTTTACAAAATATAGGATGTCCCCGGGAAATATGTAGTATTGGTTTTAATCCCCAAAATAAACTCTGCATCGTCGAACGCTCAATCTCCGGCCAAATGTAGCGCTAGCGGTCCAAACCGCCAAAGTTTCAGAACTGACTGTTGTCTCGAAACTTTTCAAAGGTAAAGTGCTGGCCGACAGTGCCCACGAATACATGGGGCTGAAGGGCGGAAACTACCGAGAACGACCCCGATTTCCCCATTGAAATGTTCAGAAAATCGCCTGCAACTTTTAAATAATGTAACAGTTCAGAAACTTTGGCATCTGGCATCTGGGCGGATTTGCTGTATAGCCTTTACACCAATTCTTCGCCGCTTGCAGTTCCCGAAAAATGTTTATCATTTTCAAGGTTAATGACATTTAATTTTTTTTTTATCCTTTTCAAAGCTGAGGCTTGTATTTTTTATTTTCTTTACGGAAGTAGAATTTTTGGTCACATTGGTGCTCAATGCAGCTTATATGTAAGTGTGCTTGCACTGTTTGACCAAACTCTTGCAGTAGCCTGAGCATCAGCATGGGTGGTATCATCAGGTCTACAGCATTATGTCTGGTCTTTGTGGAACGCTCGGCCATATTGTCAAGCAACAAATTAATCATCGATTTGCGCAGGGCGATTGAGTCGTAAGGAGACCAAGCTGCGCGAGTATGAAGCCCAGCAAATGGAGTTGATGAGAGAAAAGCGGGAGGAAGAGAAGAGGAAGAAAAACAGAGGTAAACATTCTCGGAGCCTGATCTTTCATTGGCAGCCAGTTGTTACTGGTGTTTGTTTGACCACCCATGTAAATAATTCCCTTAGTACTGTGTTTTGCATGGGCATCTGGAAGAGGGTACATGGGGAAAAGTTGCCCCCCCCCCCCCCCCCCCCCCCCCCTTGGGATTCTTGCCCTGGTGAAAATTGTTGAGATACTGGGCTGTGTATGCATGCACACGCCTGAGGTTTCTCAGAAGAGGACTACTCTGCATGCATAAAAAGCCCAGTAGACGAAGATGACGGTGTGCAGAATGTGATTATTGGAATGCTCTGTAAAGCGCGAAACACATGTACGACGAAACCGTGCGATCCGACGTCCGGTCAGGCAATACGACGGTTAAAGGCGAGGGTTTTCGACGCTCTTCGGAGCTACGAAAACCCTCGCCCCCGAAGGTCATTCCGGCAGTTCGCACGTCGGATCAAACGGTTTCGTCGTACATGTGTTTTCCGCTTAAGGCTCAGCCTCATTCCTCATCATTCTAGGGTTGCCCTCATTTGAAAGAGTTTTGTGGACGCTGGAAAGTCGCAATGTTGTCACAATGACATAACCTTGAGAGACAGAAAAAGGTGCTCCGGTTTCCCACTGCCAGTCACCTTTACTCTTTCAGTAACCACGGGGAAAAGTGGCGATTTTTGAGGGATGGACTGAACATTTTTCATTTGAACTACTCAGCATGTGACCAAGTATGATGCATCAAAATGTAGCCGATAAGGTTTGGTTTAGAAGAAAATAAGGTTTACGCTAATGGCTGCAAAAGTTTGTCAAGTTTAAGTGCTCAATTCAGAATTCGTGCAAAAATTTGCATTTGCAGTGATATAATCATGATTTTTAAAAATTGTTAATATACAAAAAGTGTGCTCTATACACACTACTATCACTTCTGTAAGTTAGAGATTTCTAGCTAATACTGTCTTTATTTGGTACGTCGGCAAGCATGCTTCTGTGGGGTCGCGCCATTCAGAGATGCTGTTGCATGCGGAGATGTCTGTCCTCCAGAACACTTTCTTTTTTCACAAAACACTACCCCAACTTCTCCTCTTCTAGTTTTTGTATGGCTTGCGACACACGTAAAATGTGCATCCCGGCTGAGGAGAGCCTGGGAAGCTAGAATGACATTTGACGACGAGTGCCTGTTGATATTCTGTGCCTTGGATATGAAATGCTGTTGTAGGGGCTCAAATCAAATGATCCAACATCCAGTCCCCACTGCTGCTCTCATCCAAAAACCAAGCAGCAAAAGCTGTCAAAATTGTGTGATTGAGGCTGTTTTTATAGCAGTTCCCTCAGTCAGCGGGACACCATGTTTGACAAATGCCACTGCCACGCAGAGATTTATTTCTGATAGATCACCAGCTTGGCAGAAAGTGCAAAACGAATTCTAAACCAAAGCTGTAGTTCTTTGGCTATCTACGAGATGGTGCCACATGTTCCAGCGTGCCAAATTCTAATTTTTCTGGTGCGTGGAAACTACCTATCACAGTTGATTAATGGCCCCCGGGTGTGGCACCGAAAGAGCTGAGCATCACATGGATTTAGCAGTGTGCAACGGAATGTGCAACGTGAGGGTGTGGTCGAGTGATAGAGGTCTTGCTCCCTTTTTTGGTTATGTGGCCACCTTTCATGGGCTGCCACAATGTGTGTATTTGTCACTGGGCAGTGATTGGCTGTTTTATTAGGTTAGATTCTGTTCTGAAAACGTATGAGCTGCATGTTGCTGCTGAAATTGGGATTTGGTACAGTTAATTTCTGCTGTGCCTCATAGAATAGCCCGCCTATTGTGTACACCTTTGTCCCGTTTAAAACGATTCCCATATGTTGGTGTATCAGCCACCTCGGTGGCTCTGAGGCACAGTGCCGGCCTACGGATCCTCAGTCCCCACCAAGGTGACCACCGTCAAATTGTGGTCACCTTGGTGGGTTTGAATCCCCACCAAGGTGACCACAATTTGACAGAGGCTACCCAGACTTGGGTTGCAAGTCACAATATCTCCAGGACGCGTAAATGAATGTTACTTCAAATTCTTCGCTCGAGAGTACTTGGCTAGAAAACAAGCACCCACTGACGCTGCGTATATAATAGCTACATCCCATTGGGCGTATTGTGTTGCAGTGGTCCAGGCAGAGCACCAGTGTAGTAATCTCTCACACCGAAATTAATACTTTTCTCTGCTCAGTGGGTATAAAGAGAGGATAATAAATCCATTTACTCTCAACTCAAATCCATACTTGTAAAAAGGGGGATTAAGTCCCCAGTCTTTTGCAGGCATATGAGAGGCCCTCTCTTTTTGTTTGGTTTGCAAGCCACAAATATTTACTTTCTATTTTATGGTAATGTATCAGCAACCTGCAGCGCGTCTTCTCATAGTGAGGATTTTTTTATTGTACAATTGTCATGGTCGAATTTCGGTAGGTAGTGTCTGTGAAGTGAAACGAATATGTCACCCAGCATGGTTGGGCACTTTCCCATAATTTTTCTGTCTGAGAATTTAGTAGGGTGTTGTCCTTGTTGATGCGGGCTGTTTTATGTAATTGCTCTTGTGGTGCTTTAACATAAAGCGTTTATCATTTCACGCTTGCTGTTGTGTGAATTTCACAGCATAGCTAAAGGGCTAAAACAAGTAGGCTATTTTTTTTTTTTCTTTTTCGTTTTGTCAGATTTGTAACAAAAGGCCAGGTTTTTATTTTGAACTTCTAATTTCTCTTTAATAAGAAGTAAAAAAAGTTTTATGTATGATAGACACTTGAAGATGCTTTTAGTGACTGAATCCTTAACTCTTCTTGCTGAATGACTGATCTACCTTATCTTAGGGTTCCATATTTTTTGATAAATCATAAAAACTCCGAAAAACTTGCCGGTAAATTTTTCCTCAATTCGGATTTATCCGAAGAACTCTGAATTTTGAGGCCACGGTGGCAAAATATAAAAGAGAAATGGCGGTGTTTTGCTAATACATTTTATGATAGCACAATTTCGGTGGTCCTGAAGAGAGGTCACTTCAGTTTCCTTTGAAGTATTGGGCTATTAACACAAGAGGGTTTACCATTTATTTCGTCAAGGTTCGTTCAAAACTATGGGTCAGTGTACTGGAGGGTCACGACAAAAGCCACTGTTTCGGTTTCCCGTCTAGAGCATACTATTGATGCTTCGTAGAGGGAGAACAATGAAAGCTGTAAATCTGTAGTTTACATAGGGGGGCAGGATGGGGCTGGAGCTTCTTTGCTTCTCACCGACCACATCTAGGTGTTTATTTATTTCAAAGTATCGACGTTAGTTGAAGCAACACTTTGCGAGATTTGTTGTGGGACAGTTAATATTCTAATGGCAAGGACACCAATGTCAAATGCAGCTGAAGAAATGACATTCGATGCAGATGAGCTCTTATGAATTTAGGATATGTTTGCGTAAGAGTGTGATTTATTTTAATGCGATAGCGTTAGGAGCTCGTGTCGCCAGAAAGCCGGCGTCGATGGCGTGATGGAAAAATCCTGATTGGTTGGATAGGGTCATGATGTCACAGCCACATGACCTCGCGTGGAAATTTCAAACAACCCACAACAGTCACGTGTGGAATGAAAGTGATTAAAACATGACATGTAATGTGAATTAAAGTTTGTCACATGTCTCGAATGATATCACTTTATAAATTAATTCTTTTGCCTTGAAGAAAAGATTTAAGAATTTTAGACGGGATCCGAACGCAGGACCCTTCGGTTGCGAGCCAGACACGCTACTGACTAGGCTACGCAAGGCACACTTGCACGGCTTGGTGACGAGCAAGGGTTTACTTGTTTATATGAGTGCCCGTGAAGCCGAAGCGAGGCGATAGCAGTGACAGGACTATCGGAGATGCAATAGCGTCTCCGGATTTCGGAGTGCACTTACGTCTCGAGCATGAAAAGTGAATGAGAAGGCAATGCGAGCCTTGATTACGCTATCGCGTTCCATTCTTAGAGGCGAAGCTTATGCGTCCTCCAAGTTTTAATTTTGAATTCTGAAAAATTAGAAACAGTAAAATGGAACTCAAATAAAGAAAACTGTTATCTAATAAAGAGCAAAAAAAATCTTAGAAAACATGAATCTTACTTATGCCTAAAAAGTAAAGCATGCATAAAGTAATTGAAATTAGTGATGTTGCACAACCACTAAACTTCAATTGTGAGCATGCTTTCACAGTAAGTTTGGCCCGTCAACATTGCATGATGTCTGATGGGACAGATTCCCTGCCATTTTGCCCTATTGAAACTTGGTAGCTACTGCTCTTTCGTTCTGCACCAGTGACCCTGGATGGTGCAGACATCATCGCACTGAAAACATTACTCATTAATCTTAGCATCTTCCTCGAACTGACTTATCTGCCGGTCTCCAGAAACATCATCATCATCATTCGTGACTTTTCCTAACAATAAAAAGCTATTTTTCAATGCTGCCAGATACCTGCCAAGCACCTTGGTGCTTTGCTTGCAAACAAAGGAACCAATTGCAGGCTTAACGAAATGTAAACTTTTGTGAGTGTTTTTATGAAACAGTCATTCACCACAATGTATGCGTCAGCTCCAAAGGGCCAAAATGGTGATAATGCCATAAATCTTCGATGGTAAATTGAATTTAATTGTACTGTACTATAAAGGCCGCTTGTTTTTTTAGGACACGCTCATGGCATACATTTCAGACTTATATTTAAAGCAGCGTGAAGAGACTGCAGTGGAATCTCATTAATATGATTTTCACGTGAACCGAGAAAAGAATATATTGCCCGAAAATCGTATTAGCCAAACATGCTCCAAAAAGCCTTAAAAATGCATACCTAGTGGGAAACTTGCTTTTATTCTGCAACCTTGAAATAGGTTGTCACTTTGCACTGGACTTTTTTATTTTCAATGTCCATGAACAAGTTCTTCTGAAAATTAAAAGAACCGCAGTTTGGTTGCTCAGCTCGGCATTTGAGACGAAAGCCTGAAGAGCGTCCAATGCTTCGAATGCGTTGCCAATGCAACAGAAAAGGACCGTCACTCTTTCCTTGCTTTTCATTCCTTGGCACATCCCGCCCTTCGCTTTTTTGGGCAGGAGGTTGATGAAGACGCTTGCTCATATGCATTGAACATATCCCGTGGCCAGTATTGCGAAATCAGCGCTGGCAAACGTGACATCCAGTCGGAAACAAGCACTGCATCTGCATTCTTTTCTTCGCCAGAAACTGTCTTGTAAAACAAACCGTGTCGTGCCTTAAACCGGTGCAGCCATCCACTCAACGCTTGGAAGCCTTCGATGCTCAAGGAGAGCGCATACTCATTGGTCTTCTTGCGTAAAACTTTCTCATTGACGTTCACGCCTGCTGCTCACACTTCCTTGAACCAAGCTAGAAGGACCTCTTTCTCTTGTTTGCTTTACGCCGGCGGCGAACACTTGCAGCTTCTTGCGAATTTCTTCCCGCTTCCCGACGATAGTGTTAAGCGTTGAAACCGGCAAATCAAGTTCGCGTGCCAGATCTACATGCTTCTTCTTCGAGTCTTCTTCGACCTTACAAATAATGTCCAGTTTTTCTTTCAAAGTTAATGGCTTGCATTTTCTTGACATTTCGGTACCATGAGAGCAGGGAGCACCAAAAAACAGCACGCCTGATTGCTATCTACCCAGAAAACAAAGAAGAAGGCGCAGAAAATGCAGGAAGCAAGTTGCGCAAGAAAGGCGTGTTCTCACGATAAAAAATTGTGTTGCTTGTATGTTAGACAGCCTAGATGCTTGTATGGCTCAACTGGGGACTTGTCTCTTAGCTGTAGATGAAAAATTTAGCCAGTGCAGTACTACCGCTAACCTTGGGTCTTTAACGTGTGCGACGCAGTAGGGATTACATGAATGCGTGCCATTACGAAACTCATCCAGATTGAAACGGGCAGGGGGTGGGGATTGAACCTAGGAGGTTCTGCAGCGCAAGCTTTCGCTCCACGCTCCGAGCTGAGATGCGTTAGCCCACTCGGCCACCGATCCCTCCGTTCTTATGATAGACGCACCACACAGATAGTTTCCAACTGCCGGATCAGGATCACGTGGTCTATGGGCCACATTTGCAATACGAGCTGCAGCAAAAAGACAAAAGCATTGATCGCCTGCAGACGTCAACGCTTCTCCTTCTGCTTTTCTCCTTGCACACTTGCGACCGATTGCCGCAGGGGGTCTCAAACCATGCTTCCCATGGTTTGAAATGGACCCTCCCTTCAATCTAGGCTCTCTACGCATACTTTTCGTGGTCACGCGCTTGAAAATTTGCTCTACTTTCTGCTTGAAGGCGCACGATGCCACCCGACTGGGTGCATTGGCGGCCATGATGATCACTCTAGCCCTAACTGCGACCCTCTAGCCATGGCGGCTGTGGCAGTCGCGATATGATCGTCGCGACTTGCGACTTCTCAGAGCTGTGGTGCTGATCGTAACTTACGCGGCCGTGCAGTGGGTCGTTCTTGGCTTGTGTAAATGTGGTTTGAGCTGGTAACTGGAATGTACAGGTATATTTTCCCATGAGAACCCATTTCAACTGTCGTATTGTCCGATCCCAAGTGAAAATATGATTGTATTAGCCGTATCAAAATAAATTGTTCCAATGGGCCGTTGGCTGGAATGAAAAAAAAAAAACATACCGAAAAATGTATTGTGCAGAATCATATTAACAAGATTCCACTGCACTTTCAAAAATGCAACACTGCGTGCGTGGCATTATGGTATCATTTTAGCTTAGAGAGGAGTAGCATGATTTCAATTTCAGTTTCACCATTGACAAAGTTTTGCATCTCAGCACGGTATTAAAATAAAGTCAGCATTCGTCTTCGTGAGAGCCCTCGTTGAGACACTGACCTCCAGTGGCCGTAAGGACCTGCCTAGACTTTACGAGGAGTAGGATTATGGCCTGCCACATCCCATACCTTTCTATAGTAGGTTACAAGTCAAGAAGGTAGTGGCAAATGCCCCTCAAAGGGAATCATATATCCCTCCGCCACCCCTGCTTCCAATAGCGTCCCATCGTTTCCGTGATATCGTGGCCAACGCGCGAGGTGTGTCTTGCCTTTCTGTACATATTAGCTTTATCTTTCGACTTTGACTTAGCATTGTGGAAGCCACGAGAGGGAGATTAGAGTTTTCACCCTCCGATGGAAACAAATGCGACTTTTGGCGGTTAGGTTCCCCCTCCGATGGATACAAAGGCTGCATTCAGGGGCTCGGTTCCCCCTCCGATGAATACAAAGGTCGCTTTCTTAAAAAGTGGGATCAGAGACAAGTTGGCATCACTCTGTAGCCAATATCTATCCATTGAAGCGGAACAACGAGCGTTTCCAGTGAACTCTTCTTTCGACTGCAAAGGGATTTGAAACCGGCGCATCACGCTTGTGGGAGGAGCTTCTCCTACCTTCTTGACTTGTAACCGACTATAGCAGCCTGGCACCACTCCAGAGTGCTGCATAGCCCTTCCGACTCTCGGATCATTTAAGAAGTCTGGGACATGTAGACAATGGAACAGGGGTCTACACTCTGGGACCGAGTAGAACCAAGGAACCGGAACCATGCCGGCTGCCGGGATTGGACAGCGCCGCGCCACTGACCATTCGCAGCAGACAGCTTTGTCCTGGTCCCCACTTGGTCCCGCCGTGCATGTAGCATAGGTGATTGGCCGAGTAAAATTCTTCTTTTGTTTGTTTGAGCACAAACTCTGGTATGTCGGGAGTTCCGAAAAACATGTTCCAGTATTCTATTCGTATTGGTAGACAACTCCATAAATTTAAGAAAAGTCGCATTCGAAAAGGCGTGCAGTGTGTTTGGTTGTGACGGGATGTCGTGAATCGAGGTTGGCAAATCGAAACCGAAACGGTGGCCAAAAGTTACCCAAGATGCTTTGCTCGGCACTACGCTGCTAGGATCAAATTCAATTGTATGAAAGAGAATCTGGTGTGAACATGTTGAAAGAGAAGCTAGAGCATCCTGCTGCAGGATTCCATCTGGACTCTCCGAATCCATTGTTTTCACTGAGATCACTCACTTGCTCGCTTTGGGGATTACCCTTTTCTGCAGTGGCCAGTGAATTATCATCTTTGGAAGTAAAAAAAGAAAATTAACACTGTTGTGATCATTTTTTTTTTCAGGTGTGTTTTAATTGATTTTTTTTAAGGGAATACAAAAAATAAGTAAACACAGGTTATTTTTGAAATTATTTAGTGACATTATGTGCGGGTGCTTGCAAGCTGTCCTGGTCAAGAAGCATAGAAGACTTTTTTTTTTTTATTCATTCCATTTTATTTTGGCGCATTCGCTTTCACAACATTCTGGCAGTCTCGGACTCTGCACTGGAGGTACTTTACAGAGCTTCTCTGTCGGATGATGAGTTTTCATTTTCTGAATTAAGTTCCCAGAAGCTTTGGAAACCTTAATCAAAAGAGCCGGTGCTTCGATTGACACTATTACCAGAGCAGCTGATACTAAATGTTCTCCATTTTGCACACTACTTAACGACTGTAGGAACTAGTTTGTCTTGGGAACTCTCACATTGTGTGCAGGGGTGTTGGCTATTTGGATAAATATAATTTTAACCTTAAAAAGTCATCCTGCTTAATAACTCTTGTTTCTTTTTGCAGAGGAAATGATTGCCCTGGCTAAGGACACCGGCACACCGATTCCCCCCAACTTTTAGTCGGTCATTCTGTAGCAGTGGGCTGCACCAGTCTTAGCTGCATCATGCTCCCCTCCAATGTCAATATTAAAGAAATTTTGTAAGATAGACCCCAATAACTCTCTTTTCTTTTTTTTCTTTTTTTTTTGTGCATTGTTTTGATTAGAGCAAATTCTGAGTCCGGCTTACAACGGCACTCAGTAAAATACATTTAGAGCTGTTAAATGCTAATGCTTTTGTGCGCAGCTAGAATGCAAATCCCTGTACAAACAGGCAGTACTTAATTAAAACTAAAGTTGTGGTTCATGATCTGTGCGTGCAAGGTCAAACTGGCATGGAATATTACTGGGTGATTTCAGATGAGATTGACCAAAGGGTGGCTGGTCGACATTTTTAAATCAACTGATGTTTTTATATGCCATTGTCTAGTGTCAGGTATAAACGAATGCACACTTAGTTTTGGCCAGAAAAAAAAAAATTGGGGACAGGAAAATTTGTAAGGCATGAGAGGAGGTGGGCAGTTGCATGAACGCGCACTGACGGAGGGGATACGTTTGAAATTGAATAACTAAAACGATAAAATTAGGAGAATTCTGATACTTTTTAGAAACAAACTATGGGTACAGCTTACTTGTAATATGCATATAGTAATATTTATTTAAATTATATTTATTGTTCTAAACATTGCCAAACGTGCCAGCTCGAACGACAAATTGCAAAACTTGGAGGCCTGTATCTCGTGAAATAATTTAATCATATACTTTTCAGATAGTATTCTGCTTATATATGGCTAATATTTAGAATGTATATTGGGTATCTGCGTGATACGATAATCGTAAATATTTAGGCAAACATGGGGAAAAAATCAAAACGAAAACTTCCGATGCGAATAAAAAAAATAAAAAACCACCTCCGATTGTTCTTAAATTTGGGTACCCTGTTATACGCTATTTCGGTATTCATTTCTATTAAAAACATATTGCGTTATTATATTGGAAAAAAAGATAACTCCCCAAGTAGGTTCCTTTTTCAAAGCCTTCACTTAGCAGTGCCCTATACAAGAAGTGACTCTGAGTTCCAGTTTCATGAAACTAAAACACATCTTTCATATATTTTTATTCAGATGAGGTCATTGGCAACTAGAGCAATCGGTCACACAGTAAAAGTGAGGAGAAACTACAGCATTTTATATACAGCGTAGAAAGATATGTATTAGAGACTAGTGATTCGAGAAAAGAGATGCAGTGTGAAGTTTTACCTTTCCGGTATATTTTATATTTACAATAAAAGAAAACTCATAAAAATAAAGATAGAATACTAAAATGGTTTATGTTGGCTATGTATTTCCGGGGACCAACCATTTCAGGTGAAACAAGGTAGAGAGGAGAAGGACAGGACAGAAAAGAGCGCTACTCAAAACTACATTTACTGACAAGAAAGGAAGAGAAAAAAAATAACCAAATAATCTTCCGCGGACTCGTGCATCTACCAGCTCAATATGTTCGACTACCAACTAGCCCACATGTCAACTTTACGGTAGCTTCGATACTCTCGGTGTACGAATGGGTCGTGGCAAGCAGTGGCGTACGCAGGATTTCATTTCAGGGGGGGGCCGGACCAACGGGGGACAAGATAAAGGGGGACAAGATAAAAAGAGAAAAGAAAGCCTAAGAGGAATTAAAAGCACCTTAATTTTTTTCTAATAACTATGCATTCCTCTATTAAATAATTAAAATTGTCATACTGGTGTTGGAAAGATTATGATACATAAAAATTGTGCCCCGGAAATTCCTCACCAGGAAGGCATTTGCAGTTTACTTTTTTTTATTTACAAGTCACGTTAACAGAAGGCACCAGACTTAGCAAAAAAACAAAAATCATAAAAACGAATATTTTATAAAGCACGTCTCCAATGCACGAAGCCTCCAGTTATCGGGGCTGATAAAGCAATGATGCATCAGAAGAAACGCGGAGTAAAGGCTCGTTCACACTCTTGCAACCGAGTACGACCGAGAGAGACAAGACCGGTTTTTAATCCTCTTGCGACTTCTTAGGACCAGCTCCGCAGCAGCGCGCCCGGTCCTAAGAAGTCGCAAGAGGATTAAAAACCGGTCTTGTCTCTCTCGGTCGTACTCGGTTGCAAGAGTGTGAACGAGCCTTTACTCCTCATCTTAACCTGATCGAACGAACAAAAATCTCACATGATTTTTTCGTTGTTGTCGATTTCTAAGGTTTTCGAAGTTCATTCACAAAAGAAAGTCAAGGAAGTCACACGACGCAACAAAGGAACGATGGAAAATGGTTTGTACACTCACATATTGCACTTGGCTCTCGTCCTGAGGCACCAGGTCGCACACTCGAGCCCCTATCTCGCGCGGTTCTCAAACTGCCGATGACAACTTCCGTACTCGAACCTTGAACCGAAAATCCTGCGCCTTTAGGCGCCTATATTCACTTGTTAAGAGTTTTCCCGACACCCAAGGAGCCAATCAGATATTGCTCTTTTTAGACCAATGGGAGCCACGCGGTACAAAACAAACACATACAATACAAAATCCAACTAAGAAAGGACAGGTGCATATACCCCCGAAAACATTCAAAAACCTTCGCCCTAACTGTTGACCGTCAGCCGGACACCGCTTCCAGGAAAAAAAAAACCTCGTCGGAGTGCAAGAGCAGCACCCACCCTTCTTCTCAAAAAAAAAAAAAAGGCTACAAAACATCGATGGGCCCCGCTGTGCTCGAGTGGGGCACAGCGCATGGTACGCACCCAGAGCGGGGGTTCTCAAGGAACAATTAAGACGGGGGACACGGGGGCCGCTCCGTGGCGACGACAAACCAGCCCCGGCGACTCCACGCAATTGGGGCACTTGCGAAGCAATAAAAGTAGAAGTAAACAAATACATTTTCTTTCCTGAGGAACGCTACGCAGCGCAGCCTACCTCACAATATATTTAACAAATGAGATATACGGCCGATTATAGTATATATATATATGTGTGTGTGTGTGTGTGTGTGTATCCCGCGGTGCCGGCTACTCCGCCCGACGACCGTTATATAAATCTATATTGGGAAAAAGCAGACTACGGAGGTCGCGGCGTACACGCCCAATCGCGCAACCCGCAGTCCTTGGTTACGTATATCGCGATCTGTGGGGTCCCCACAAGCTGGACCCATCTTATTAAATATTGGATGTCTTTGTCGTTTTTCTTCTTACTAAAGGTTGTGTTGTATCGCTTCACACGCGTGGAAATTCAGCAAAGCGTTAAATATTAAGTCGACGCTTTCATAATCTTAGTGCTATGGTTTGTAGAACCTTTGGTCCTAGATATTTTTGTTATATCGCACAATTCATGGCTTTCATAAAGCGTTGAATCTTGATTGGAGATGAAAGGGTTCATTATACTTCGTTTCAGCTGAAGTCCAGACGCAGCCGATGCTACAGGCGCGAGCATGTGCCCTGAACAGCGCTTGCACTGCACGAGCGCGCGTGCATGGCAGAGACGCTGAAAGCCTGGATCTCGCGCTTGTAGCATCGGCTGTTTCTGGACCTAAGCTGAAACCAAGTATAGCAAATTAATCCCACTGATCGCCACCCTGTAATAGATTATTTAAGGAATAAATTTGTTAATTAATTATTCCTCAGTCATATTACGTGAAAGACGTTAAAACTACACATTTTTATTATTTTTACTACGTCATAAATGGCCATATTGCATCCCCTTCCTTTCCTATTTATTTTTTTACAACTTTTTCACAATGTTGGCTCCGCTGCTAAAAAAAAAAAAAAAAAAAAAAAACACCGCAGGGTCATTCCATGTGAAACGTCCCAGACGTTGCGCTCGACCACCTCCGATTTCTAAAAAAAAATTCATGGGCTTCGGCCACAATGTCCGTAGCCATACCCTAAAATAGTTGTGACGAAAAAAAATTTGTGATGACGTGAGCGCGATTTTCATTTTTGAAAACAGCGTGAAACTAGGCATCACTCAATAATTTACGAAAAATCAGCTTTTTTATGAAATACCCAACAATATTTTTTTCTTAAATTTGCACGGTTGTCGGCTTACAATGTGGTTGAGTTTGTGCAGTTTTGTTTAATTTAAATATTTAAAAAAAATGCATAATTTTATTCAAAAATACATTTTTGTTATTTTATTAAAAATATATATAATTGCTCCCAGGACCTAATATAACTGTTTACTGGTTGCCCTCTAGGTATATAACATATAAAAAATATTTTAAACCGCTGAATTAAACACCTTGCAGTAAAACAAAAATCCCGAAGTTGCCAAAAAGTGCGTTTTGACGCATAAACAGCCGTTTATTCCACCTTGAGGTGGTCCAAGTAAAAATACAAAATATGGTGGGTTTGGAAGAGCGATTGATCGTCTTTTGATTCTGAAAGTTTAATCAGAGTAATTTTTGTTTAAAGCGAGAAAACAATTTTTGAAGTTGAACTCTCGCACCACTACCCGGCGTCGCTTCTTAAAGGGGCAGTGCAACAATTTTCAGACTTTGTCCAATTAACTGCGGAAATTAATCTGCGTCACCTATGAAACGAAAAACCGAAAGCCGCATTTTCTTGCGACCGCTAGTTCTTATTTAAAAAAATTAACCAAATCGAAGGTCAAAGTGCCTCCCAACTCTCCACGCCGACTTTCGAGTGACGTCTCTGGGGGTTCACGTGGTCACCCCTTGGGCCTTCTCTTCAGAGACCCCAGCCGCTTCCTCCGCGATTGTCGACTTTCAAAGGATTAGCCTTGTCGAAGGTCGCGGCTAGCGATAAACACAAAGGACGGTTCGCCACGGGACTGACGGCGAGTGTAGCAGCGGAGGGGGACAGGGTTTGTTGACTTCCGCGCATCCCCCAGAGACGCCGTCATTTTAGTTCCCGTAGCCGCCACCGGCGGCTGCAGATCGGCAAATAATTCCTCTTTGCCTTGCGATTACGCAGCAGAATAGCCGTTTTATCGGTAAAGGTGACGCGTTTTTGGTCACTTGGGCTTGTATAAACAATATAAAAAATGCAAACTGGCAATTCTTTCAACATTAAAATCGTTGCACTGCCCCTTTAACGCCTCTTCGCCGCACAGCACGCCACCTGCGA